ATGTGTACCATAATCCTAACAAATGGTAATTTGATTCTCAAGTTTTATTACAACAAATGAATGGGTAAAGAGAACTATCATGAAAACATTCTCCCTTCACTTCATCAAAGTCACTAAAACCAAATAATAATAATAATAATAATAATAATAATAATAATAATGGTGAGAAGGTTCTGAAAAATTGAGGTTACAGATTCAAATCTTATAATGCATGAATTTGATTCAAGTTTATTTTATATTTATCTAATTGTACGTTGATTTTTTATTTTTATTTTTTATCTGATTTATGTAATATTTGAAGTTGATTTAATTTTTCTTGCACTTATAATTTGGTTAAAAAAAATAAGGAACAGACCCAGATTGAACTTTTCAGTTTGTCGTCACATTCCAGTAGGCTAATCAACCCAAAACCTCGAGTTGGACTGGATACACTGTGGGCTGATCAGCTGTTGTATATATTTTTTATAATTTGATAGTGGAGTTTTGGCTGGGCTCATCATCTCACAAGCTTCTTCCCTCTCTCTCTCTTTCTCACTCAGCCAACCCAGACTATATAACTTCTCTAATTTGGCATCCAAAAATGGATTGTTTATTTTTTTCAATTAAATGATTAGGTTAAACAACCCCCCCCCCCCCCCCCCAAAAAAAAAAAGGGGATTTGAGCTTTTTTTTTCCCCCCATTTTGATACCTCTCTAGATTTTTACATGAGCTAGCTGCTAATAAATTGGATTTTACTGCAGTAAAAGAATTCGACACGCTTATAAAGTTGTTAATATTATTATTATAAAAGCTTGAATTAGTTTTGAATTAACGTCGCCAATTTCTTGCAGCTATGGCAACGATTAATTGTTGAAAAAAAAAAAAGGAAAACGAAGACAGTTCTCAAGTATTTATTGTTTCTTTTAGGGCAGGCGATCTCCTTGGAATTTTTATTCTTTTGAATGTTCGTCTTTTGTCGCTAAAAATTGCAAAAACAATGGAAAGTGGCTTCACTATTACATCGGTCCAAAAATTTTCACACCACGACATCAATGAAGTTTGATTTTCATTTCTTAGCTTGTCCTGTCTTTGTGTGTTATGATACAAGTTTTATTTTTTATAAAAAAAAAAATCTTATTTCGTTAGAATGTCTAACTTGCACGGACTAAATAATTTTTTGACCTATAAAACTTTTTTTATTGAAAAAAAAAAGAAAATGGATGAAAAATTAATTGCAAATTAATTCATAATTTTTTTATGAAATTGAACTATTCTTTGGTAAGATTTTTTTAAAACATAATTTGAAATATAAAAATTTAAATTTCATAAAATAATCATATGAATTAATTAAATTAATTTTTAATTTTTTATAAAATTTTTCGTATTACCTTGATCTTAATTAAGACGTAGTATCATATATAAGATATAACGTCAAATCACAAAGGATAGAGTTTAAATTAATATATGGTGTGTCCAGGTAATCCCATATGATTGGAAACTTTGTAATCACGAGGGTGGCTAGCTACTATGCTTGACTTTAGACATAAGTGGTCCAAATTGTTTACGGTCTCAAGACTCTATCAATTTTAATCCTAAGAAAATCGCAAATTCCTTTCCTTCGTTTTAATTTGCTTCTAAATTTACCAGAAAACGTGAAGAAAAAAAATCAGGAATAAACTTTTCTTATCTTCAAGTAAAAGCTTGCTTATAAATTAATTAATTTAAATAACTACAATTTTCTTTCTATATTTTTTAGTTTTTTCATATTTTTTTAATACATAAAATTATAAATATTAAATTTTAAATTTAATGAATATTATTTTTTAATGACTATAAATACAAATTTAATATAATTGGATAAATAGAATCTTGGATAACATCGAAGGATGGGTGGCAGTTGCTGGTCTGATTATAGCCAAGAAAAAATGTTGATTTGATGTGGGACTGACTTGAGCAATTTGTCCCCTTTACCGTTGAAATTTTGTGTGGTTCATACTGTTACAACCCTTTTTTTTTTTTTTCATTATTATATTATATTTTATGGTGTCAAGAAGAGATTTGAACTTCATCAATTTACGAAAAAAAAAATCTAATTAAAAATAGTCATAATAATAAAAATAAAACAATGATTGGATTCCAAATTAAATTAATATGGCACATCACTTTCTTTCACTTTTGGTGATATTTTTGTAGATCTGATGCATATATTTTTTTCTTTCTTTTCTTTTATAGTGAGGGAATTGACATTGGATTTTTCTTCAAGAAAAAAAAATGTGATTAGAGTTGTAAAGACAAAATCGAAATTTTTTTGAAGGTCGAGGGTCATTATTATACATAATATATTTTAATCATATTAATATGACACTTTTTTAATTTTAGAATATCTAAAAATTTGAATTTTAATTATTTTAAAATAATATTTTATTAATAATATTTTTTTAAAAAAATTTAAAGATAAATAAATTGTTCGATAATTCAAATTATGATAAAATATATCGTACTTAATAATTTAAAAAAATAATTGTAAATCGTACATTTAAAATAAACTTAATAAGTTATAATCGATAATATTCAAATTTAATACCTTTTTATTAAAGAGAACGCATTTAATCGATTAAATTAATTATTTATTAATATAAATCATATTGATAATATGAATCTCAATTTAATCTTTATTAATGCATTATTTTTTTTTAAATAAAAAAAATATGTTAAGATGTTGTTACTATAAAAATGAGAGATTAATATGAATATAGAAGATATGTTACGATCTTTTCTATTTAAGAGAAAATTTTTTTAATTTTCTCCGACAAAAAAAAATTGCATAATTCTTATAAAAAAATAATATCAAAATAAATCCATTTGTGATATTATGGAATTACTCGCACTAAACTCATATGCTTAAATTGAATCTAAAATTTTTATTTTTAAAATAAATTACCCTCGTTGGCTTTTAAAGTGTTTTCACACTTTAAACACAGTTTCCTTTGGGAAGAGGAAAAGGATAAAGTTAAATCCAGCACCAATACGTGCAAAAGTTAACTAATGGAAATGGCTTTTCTTTATAGAATCCATGTTCACACCCCAATAAAAGTTTTACTTAGTATTTAATCTCGTCTCAAGCTGATAAAATAATAATAGAACTCATGTTCTCACATTTTTTTGGATAATTTTTATTGTTGCGTAGTGTATAATGAATATCAAAATTTTAATTTTTATAATTAAAATTTACTTTTAATAACTTTAAATACAAAAAAATAAAAAAAAATCTCAAAGTTCACCTTCAAGATAACATACTTTTTCATGCCAATCCCTACTTTTTTTCTTCATTGTAAGAACAAAAGGAAAGAAACCCTTTGTTTGTTTTTTCTTGCAGACAAATCAAAAAGTTCACAAAGCTAGACTTTGTAATCAGAATTGCTAGCTTTGCTTTAGCTTCATCCTTTTTTTTCTCTCATCATCCAAAGAAAAAAACTCCAAAATTTTGGCCACGTGTCATGTATGAAAACACCAATCAATTGCCTTCACCTGTCCATACCAATGTAGCTTTAAACTTTTTTTTTTTTTTTGAAAATTTAGCTTTAGCCTTTTGTCCTAAGATAAGGTTATTTTATGATTGGGAAAATATAAATGGCTCAAATTATTAAATATAATGGATAATGTTGTCCTAAAATCAACATTATCTTTGCTCTATGTCATGCATTTATTCTTTTCTTCCTTTTTTTTTTTTTATAATTTTCCGATTTATTCCCACGTGACAAAGGAAGCTTTCAATTGGATTTATTTTCAAGATATGTTATCCAAAATTTTTAAATTAAAATTTAATATGCCTTTACGTTAATTACATATAATAACGAGTTTTGAGTAGATTATTTTGAATAATATATATTTTTAAAATTTTTAATATTATTTTAATATGTTTAAATACATTTAAATATAAAATACTTATTTTATTGTGTAAAATTTTAAAAATAATAAAAAATATAATTCAATTTTATTGGAATCATTTTTATTCTTTCACTTCAAATTCAAAAAAAATAAAATCAAATTAAACATTTAATATTTTAAAAAATATAAATCAAACATAATATTATTATTTTAAATTAATTTTTAATTTTTTTTTACTCTAAATTACCCAAATGGTTTCGATAGAGCAAAAGACTTTGAAAGACATAATAATTACTTAATATTCCAAAATTCTAATGGATTAGGAAAGATTAAGAAAACGAAAAAATCTCATCATCCCTTCTCGTACACGTATATGGTGATCCATGAAATCAATCCCAACAAAAAAGCAAGATGGGTACATTTGATGCCACGCGGCATTCTTTAAGTGGTCCAGTAGTTTCCCAATTGGGTTTCTAAGAGTCCAAATTGATTTAAAACACCTTCATACATGTATCAAACCAAAGCGGTAATAAAATGGGGGCAGTTTGGTCATTAGAAATAAGATGATTTTATGACAATAAACGTTGGAACAATGAAATCTTAAAAATTGTCCTGAAAATTTAATCAGATTTGGTGAAATTGTGCTGCCTATTTTACATCCTGACCGTCCGTTTCCAAAATTATGGAAACACTAACGTCAGCTTCAAGTGTCATGTCGGAAATCTTTACCAATGACTTTTATATCCAAAATATACAAGGGAGTTGGATAATGATTTATTAGTGTTTTTAATAATTAATAAGGTAATAATTATGATTTATTTTATTATAAAAAGCAAATATAAAAAAACCTAAAAATTATCATATTTTATATTTGGATTTTATTATCTAATTTAATTTTTTTTATAATTATTTATAAAATAATATTTTTGAAATCAACATATTAATTGTCAATTATTGCATTTAATGAAAGTGTTATTGTAAGTAAAATAATAAGTAATCTTAAAAATGTTAACAAAATTCTTTATTTTCATAGGTAATTATTTTCCAAGAAATTTGATTTAATTTTTGGAAAACCAATTTGAAAAATCCGAATCAACAGGAACATGCGCAAACACGATGGCCCAAAAAAAAAAAAAGCCGGACGTTATTTTCCACTGAAGGCCGAATCCGTCATTTCATTTATCTCCAATGAGCGATCCACCGTGGTCCTCTAATCTTCCACCTCTGATCTAAATCACAAAATTCCAAAAATACCCTCCGTCTCCTTTCTTCCCCCATTTTATAATCCTCTCAACTTCGTTTCCATGCAACCTCGGCCTCTCCCTTCTCTCTAAAATATCTCTCTTTCTCTCTCTAAATCTATTAAGTTTTAATTAATCTATATTTATTTTCCAATCATATTGACAAGTAGATAAATAAGTTTAGCTTTTCTTTTCTTTTTTGGTTTTGGCTCGGGCGAGTCATGACTCGGCGATGCTCGCATTGCAGCAACAACGGCCACAACTCCCGCACGTGTCCCACGCGCGGTGGCGGCGGAGGAGTGAAACTATTCGGCGTTCGTTTGACGGACGGGTCGATAATCAAGAAAAGTGCGAGTATGGGAAATTTGTCGTCGGCGCACTACCATAGTTCGTCATCAGCCGCCGCTTCGCCTAATCCGGACTCTCCTTTATCGGATCACGTCCATGACCCGAACAACGTGCCCGACGGCTACCTTTCTGATGACCCCGCCGCACACGCCTCAACTAATCGTCCCGGAGAAAGAAAGAAAGGTGATTAATCTAAAACGCCACGTTTTTACTTTTTTTTTTCTTTTTTTAAGGGATTTTAATGTTGTTTATTTGAATTTTAAATTTTTAGTTGTTTATTAACATATTTCATTTTGTATTTATGAGAGATAGAATTTAGAGTTTGTTAATGATCAACCTTTTTTTTTTTTAGATTTATTTTTCTTTACAAAAAAAAATTCTTTAAGCGTGCTAAGTGTTTTATTTTTACTGGCAATTTATTAATTTCGCAATTTCTTTATCGTATATTAAATTCTTGATTTCTAGTAAAAATTTTGTCTAAGAAAATTAAATTGCCAAGTTTATTTTCCTTTTTTTTTTTTGGTCTCGGGTGTTAGAAAAATTATTTGGAGGTCATTAGTATGGGGAAATGGTCTTCTTTTGTTTACTTTTTAGATTAAAGTTGTTTATATATACCTTTAATTTTTTTAATGATATTAAAAAAGTAGTAAATAGGAAATGAACAATTATCCCAGCACGTGCATTAAGCTAATAAAGTTGGAGAAAACAGATTAATTCTTGCTTTAGTCAATTTCTTTGATGTACTGAAAGTGGGTACTTTTGTTTTCCCCTGTTTTCGAATATATATATATATATATATATATATCTTTTGAAAAACTTTATATGTTATTGTTATGGATAGTTTGGCCTTTTGGGGGCCACATGAATAAGGGATATTAGATAATTGGATTCATTGTAATAGTTTAATCTCTTTTTTACTTCACCATGTTTGAACCGTGAATGGAGCTTTCAAGGTAAAATTGTTTCTGAAAAATTATTGTTTATAGGAATGCGAGCTTTCCTATTTCAGGGTGAAAAGATAAAGTTTGGATTGTGCTTTATGGTTCTGGGACATGTTTGTGTTATATCATGATCTCCACTTATTTTTTAGGACAGATACGTAACTGCTAAGAGTAATCTTGGGAAAAAGAAGTCTTTAAGCTGTCCTAAGTGGCTTATTAGCCTCGTTTGCATGTCTGTGCATGTATGAGCAGCTGTACATAAACATCAACGCTTGGTACATGATGTGAAGCTAAATTGATATTTTTGGTTTCAAGTTTGCTCAGTTTTTGTATTGCGTTCATCAAATGGCTTTTAGAAAGAACTTATAGCAGAAGAGTGTTTAGAAAATGAGAAGTGCCGTCTCACTAATAGGTATACTTATAGGCTTAATTTTAGACTAAAACCTCCTATAATGAACATTTAGCTCTGAAACTGATATTGCTATGATTTATGCTTGCTGATTTCAGTTTCCCTTGATAGTTAGTTTCCTGATAGAATTCTCATCCTTGGGAAAAAGAAAGTAGTTTCTGGGCAAGAGCTGGGATTCCTTTTCAATTTTAGTTGGCTGTCTTTTATGTGGGTTGTTTTGTTCCATATGGTTAGGGTAATTTTAAGTCTTATATTAACTTTAATTGTTGGAAAGGACACTATTTGATGCAGATTGTGTTGAATAAGTTGATTCTTACCTTGTGGCATGAGTTGTTTGAGTGATCCATAAGTAGGCTTCTTTATAAGTAAAATGAGAGTGTATAGTAGTGTCTGGGAAGATTGAGGCTTCAACAGTGTCTTACCATATTGGTTTGGGAAATTGGCTTATGCCTGTGAACTCAGAGTGGCATATTCTGCTCAAATTTCTGGAGCGAACTTTGATCTAGTCAATGCAATATGATCTTGTATAGATATTTCAATTTCGTCAGTTTCTTCAAATATATATTAGAATTGCATTGAGTTTCATGAAATATGTGGATTATGTTGCTAGGTAGGAAGCAGCAATTGATTTGCTCTTATTTTTAGGTGATTCCATCACCTATTTTCTTCCTTTTGTCACAACTGATGAGAACATCAAAGTCCACTGGATATACCTCCATCAGTGCAGGTATTTGGGTAACTAGTTTTCATTCTGGTTATCATTTTGAAGTACTTATTTTAGTTATATGCATTATTTGCTTTCAAAGCAAGGTATGATTTTCCAAGCAGGTTAAAATATTGCATTGTTACTGCTTGAACATTAATGGTTAGTTGATCCTTTGTAGCTTATAACTTCGAGTCTCCCATAATAGAGGACTGAAGAGGACGGGATGGGTTATCAGTTTAATTGGTGGGATGGAAATATATGTTGACTTAAATAATTTATTGATTCTTAGCTATGATATTTGGAGATATCCACTTAAAATTTGATTGCTTTACAGGTGTTCCATGGACTGAAGAGGAACATCGGCTCTTTCTAATTGGCCTCCAGAAATTAGGGAAAGGGGATTGGCGGGGTATAGCCCGAAACTTTGTTATGTCAAGGACACCTACTCAGGTAGCCAGTCATGCCCAGAAGTATTTCATCCGTCAGAGTAATGTTACCCGAAGAAAGAGACGTTCAAGCCTTTTCGACTTGGTTCCAGATGATATGGTTTGTCTTGCTCTATGTTGTTTTAGCATTTGCAAAGTAGCAATACAGTCTATTATGCACATCAGATTTGGCATGCAACACAGCCTATCTGCACTCAAACACGTGATTCTAGAGAAGATAAATTTGTAATCGTGCAAAGGAGAATATCTCCATCCAGTGTCCATTACTGAAGGGATTTAACAAGTAGCATATTGTGATCTTTGTCTAAAGATGTGCATGTAGAAATAAAATGATCAACGCTCTGTAGCTGAGGAGATTAAAAGCATATACAATCTAAGTTAGGGGGGATGAGTTGGTTGTGAATGGCTTTAGGTTGCATTATTTGGGCTCCGTGTTGTTACTTTTGAGTCAATTTGATTTTGACTTTCGTGCAGGTTGAGATTAACCTTTGTCGTATTTTCTTTGCTAACAAATAACAATTGATTTTGGTTTTATGTCAGATTTGGGTTCAGGTTGTTTTAGTTTTCATTTCAATTGGTTCATGCTGTTGAATTGTGATTAAATTTGGGTTGGGTGCATGTGTTTTGGCTGCGCTAGCTTCTAAATTTTCTAAACTAAATGAGCAGTTTTTTTTTTTTTTTTACCGTCGATTCTGGATGATTAACTTTTTTTTTTTTTTTATTCTTTTGCAGGCTACAGATACACCCACAGTGCCTGAAGAACAGGTTTTACTGCCTTCTTCACAGGTTGAAGAAGCAGGTAATGCAAATTCAATACCTTCATTAAATCACTTTCTCAACTCTGAATTTGAGCATCGACAAGCTGCAGCACAAGAAACAGTTAAAGAAACTGAAGAAACCATGATTGGATCAAGTGGATTTACACCAATGGCCCCTGGTTTCTTCCCACCTTATGCACCTATTCCTTACCCATTTTGGCCGCCAAATCCAGCCTCTCCTGATGACGAGAAGGGCAGAGCGGCGTCTCAACATCAAGTACTGAAGCCAATTCCATTGCTTCCAAAGGAACCTGTCAATGTAGATGAACTAGTTGGTATGTCTCAGCTTAGTATAGGACAGACTGAGAATGGCCATAGAGAGCCTTCACCGCTATCCTTGAAACTACTAGGAGAACCATCGCGACAATCAGCATTTCATGCTAATGCACCAGTTGGTGCACAGATTTGAGCAAGACTGGTGCTATTCAAGCCGTCTGAACTGCAGGGAAGGAGGGTGGTACTTCTATCTTATTTTGGTTAATATTTTTTGCATTACCATATTTTCTACATTGTATTTAGTTCTATTTTTTGATAGAATGAAATTTCTGGGTCCTTATAACATTGGTTAAGATCAATTTCTGGGAAATATTTATTCATTCTAACTATTAACAGCTAGTAGTCCTAGTAATCAAATGGATTTGGCAGTGGATGCCTTGGTCTCATACTCTCGTATCAAGTCCTTGTATAGTAGCTTTGACTTTTACACACTATTGTCCTGGCTATTTCCTTATTGCTTGCAAATATTATAGGGAATATTTTAATTGCGTTACTTTTTATCCAAAAATTCAAAAAGTTGAAAGGGTGATGACAAAGTTCAATAAAATTAAATATTAGTGACAAATTGACATTAATCCTAAACTTTATCATATTTATTTTATAGAAATTGAATTAAGTTGTTGGTACCTTTTCTGGACCTAATCTTTGACTAAAAGCAATATTTATTATTCTCATTATCAAATTAATTTTAATCGACCCTCCTTCCTTCTTTGAAGAATGTGAGAGACCTAACAAATCAATAAATGAAATCAACAAAATGCTACTGATTCACAGTTTCCAATATTAATTTCGAGGGTATAACTATAGCATCCCTATTTCTACCAAAAACCTTATCTTAAAACAATGTACCTGGTAATTTAATTTTTAATTAATTAATTAATGAAAAATGTGGTGATTATGGACTTTAACATCTGATTAACCAATAACGAAACGACACGTATTGTTTACCGACCAAAGACTTTGGTACATCAGCCTGTTTGTACCTTGGCTTCGCCCTCGTCAATTCAAACGAAAAATGTGTCACTCAGTCCTTGAAGGTGCGTGGCTGAGTTGTAAGCACAGCAGCCAGTCTTACCAAATCAAACCCTGCCTGCCATGGAAGAAAATTCTATTGCTTGGCACCTAATCATTGGAAGTTCAGTTGACATTTGCTTCCATGACTGTAACATTAACTCTTTGCCATGCAACGTAGAGAGCGTCTGCCATGTATATTTACAGCTCTTGCCACGCGTTGCTGCAAACCCTTTTACTTAACTCCCTTAACATCGTTTCCTCTAAACTTTTGTTCTCTGATTTTCTCCTCTCCGTCTTTGTCTTAATTTAATCTCTTTCAATGGCAAGCGTGTCCACCGTCATGAATGAACATACCCTCCAGAAAGACACCATCACCACCACCGTTGAGGACTCCAACCCAAAACCAATGAATTCCAATAAAGCCAGTTCCACCACCACCATTGTCCTGATCTCCACCGATAGTACCAATGGAGTTGTTGAGACTGAAAACACTAGTTCTGCTGTGGTTACAGCGGCGTCAGACAGCTGTGATACCAATTGCAAAGGCATTGTTGGTCTGGAAGGCAAAAGGGCTGCAAAATGCATTGGGAGAAACAACAAAGGAGTGTCGTGGGGATTCTGCTTGGAGCAAGGAAGGCGATCGACAATGGAGGATGCAACGGCGGTTCATCCAGCGTTTATGGAGGTTTGTTGCAAGGATGTTGGTGGCTGTACAGCACCCGAGTATAAATACTCCTTGGAGAAATCGCCGGTGCATTTCTTTGGCATATTTGATGGGCATGGAGGTGACCAGGTAAATTAACTCATCTATCTCCTGCATGTTGACAAATTAAAATCTTTATATATACATACATATTTAATGTATATGCAATGGTTCTTTTCATTCGATGATTAAAGCAGAAGGTCTATGATAAAATGAATGTGGCTTTCGTGATCATATAATATATAGTTTTTATTTTATATATGACGGTTCATGTGTAGAACAATTCATACTATATATATATATATATATTCCTTTTTTCATTAAAAAATACAGCATCAATGGGGATTTTTTAAGTTTTTTTTTTAAAGTCTCATGGAAGGAAACAATGTTTGAAACTCTTATTTTAAATGGTTTTAATTTTCATTTCTATTATTGTTAAGTATTGTTTCATTTATTAATCACTTTTTTTTATCATGTTAAAAGTTAAAATAAATTGAAAATTTATACCCATAAAGATTTGAACGAGAAAAGTAGAATCACTACTTTCTTTTTCCTTTTTTCCTTTTTTGTTTGGGGAGTGAGAAATTGAAATGGCACCACCTTCTTTTTTGGCCATTTTCAATTGACAAGCAAAACAAAGTCAAACTTGTTTCTCACCAAGTCAAAGAATCAAGTCAATTTAGGCTATGCCAGCCAAATTGACCTGCAACGTGGCCTTCGAGGCACCGAGCTGTTAGCTATACTCAATGACAGAGAGGCACTCTGATTGACACGTGTTCCAAAAGAGACAAAATAAGGTAACCTCTTTTGTCTTCAAGTGGAATCGCTCTTTTTGGGTCTTCGATCATCTTGGGCCCCCGAGTGAGTAAATGACGACCAGCCGTTTTTGTCTCGTTCCTCTCTGTTTTTTGGGGGAGGGGAAAGTGATAGATTACGCGATCTGACAGCGCGTGGTCTGCGCAGCCAGTCGGTCGATTTGGCGGCGGTTGGAAGTTGGAACAGTTGCATGCCCACAGCCAGGTCCGGTCTACTTGTCACGGATCATTGAAGGCGCAAAACAAGTCAAAATTGTAACATGCAAAACTTCAGAGTCAATCTTGAAAAGAAAAGAAAATTTTGGGTATATTTGCAATTTCAACACTCTACTGTTGTTAGGACTTGATAGAAAAGATTAAAAAGAAGGTGTGAAATTCCTGAAAGGCAATTTCTTTTCTGTTAAAAATTTCAATTCAAAACCCAACGTCTCTTTTGTCGAAGTTTTTACTATTTACACTACTGGCGCAAGGCTTTCCCAATTTGGTCAGTTTCTTCCCTCGATAATTAAAAACCCTAAAATTATAGCTTCAAAACATCTAAAAGCCCTATGTTTATTCCTGGAGAAAAAAAAATGGGGGAAAGCAAGAGAAAACGAAAAGGAAAATTTCGCCAATAAGGTAACTATTTCACCCACATTCATTTCGATTCTAACTCTTGAAGTTATTTAAATTGATCGTTCTTTTTGTTTTAAGGGTTTTCTTCTTTGTGGAATCAGGTGAATTAGAAGTGGCTTAATTATTTGTGTTTAGGACATATTTTAAAGTTTCTTTAAATTTTTTTTTGTTTATTGATTGAAATTTATTTTTTCCATTGTTGATTTTCTTTGTTGTGCAATTAATATAGATCCCTACATGATAATTGATGAACAGCGCCTTGAGCTTTTTCTTAAAGATATTATAATATATATATATATATATATATATATATATATATATTGAGCATTGATGTTGTGATACCAACGGGAAAGTTTGCAAAATTTGTACTGGTTTAGTGCATCTGTTTGTAAAAGGTCTTTATGGTTGTGTGGTTTGAAGTTGTCAGATGCAGGCATTTGTCTTCGAGGATTGTTGTCGTAGCAAGTTATGGGGGCTGCTTACAAGGAATGGAGTGCTATAAGTGGTTGGATTTTTGCATTGTTTATTAGAATTTTCAATGTTTATTATAAAATGGAGCTCAGTTTTGGCTGTACAAGCATGCATAAGCCTTTGTATAAATGTGTGGAAAATTTATTATTTGATTTTTGTTGATTATTATGCTAATATTTGGAAATTAGGTACTCTTGGTCTCTTTATGTATAAAATAATACATTTAAAGACTTTGCTTAGTAAAGGGAATCTATTAGCTAATTGGTAAAGTAAGAAATATCTTGTGATGTTTTTATGTGATATTCTACTTAACAATTGGTGGAACTTGCTTTGCTATTTGCATTTGTAATGAGAGGCTGTGAGTGAAACTTCTTTGGGCCTTTTTGCATGACTAAACAAGTGACCTGCATTATGGCTATCTGATTGAGTGAAAGAGTACAATGCTTCCTCTTCTAACACATTTGAAGAATTTGGTTGATGTCTTTAATAGTTAAGGGTTTTTTTTTTTAATAACTATAACAATGAAAAGTTATTAGAGAATCTTTTTTCACCTTCCATTACAAGATAACCAGAAGGAGATGTGAGATCATTAATTGTAATTAACTAATTCGCTAAAGATTTATAAATTGGCAACATTAGGATAACTCAGATTTACTTTTGAGATGATGCGAAGTAATTAAGCTAGTAGAGTAAAAAAGGAAGACCCATCCTGGAAGAGACATTTTTTGAGGTAAATATTTAGTATCTTTATACTCTTTCCTCATGTGTTTCGAATTAGATTGTTATGAATTTGAGGTTAATTATGATTATGAAAATTTAAAATGACTAGCATTGACATTATTTGAAGATTTAAAAAAAGCGAAAGGAGAAGTGGAAAGTTCCATGCCTCCAGAGACCATTTTCCTATAAGATCAACATATAAGTTTGTCAAGGATAGGAAGGGGCATGCCTATGCTCAGAATGAGAATTGGCAGTGGATATGGAAACTGAAATGTCCAGAAAAATTCTGGATTTTTATTTGGTTACGTATGCGGGATAGAGTGATCAATAATGAGAGGTTCAGGAGAAATATCGTTGATAATCCATTATCGATTACATTTTTCAAGGGTTAGTGTGCCACAAACATGAAGAGTAGGGAGGGAGTGAAGCTTTGGATCATATTGTTCTAATTTATCCATGTTTGGAGGATGGGTGCACCATAAACATGAGGAGTGGATTTGAGCTATAGTCTTTGTATTAAAGCTTTTGGTAGAGAACTTAACCTTTGGTTATAGTATTTGTGTTTGTGATTTGGTATGTATGAAGATCTAGGAACTGGTCAGTCCTTGATAGTAGAAGGGGAAGGTATAAGGAAGTTCCTTTTAGGGCGGGAAAAATGGTTAGAAAATTGTGGTAACATTCAAGTTGGTGCTACCAGACGCAAATTGATCGTGCTGTTGGATAGCCTGGAGACCTCCCCTTGACAATGTGTTCAATTTAAACATGGATTGGGCAAAGAACGTTAGCACTAATTTTCTAGTTTTGGGGGCTTGATTGGAGATCATCATGGTAGCTGGGTGAAGGGTTTTATGGCTGGTAGTGGTGGAGTTGATAGCTTATTCCTGGATATATGGGCTTTGAAAAAGGTCTAACTGCTTGTCCAATGGATATGTAGATGATCCATTGTGGTGAAGTTGGATAAAAAGGTTTGGTTGGTTAGGAAAGGACCATCCGTCAGAGGATTTTATAAGATCATAAGTGCCTGATAAGGAAGGTTGAAGTTGTGGAGATTAGACATGTCTTCCATGAGGGAAATAAATGTGCTGATATGCTGGCATATGTTGGCCAACTACTTTATTTAACAAAGTGATTTTAGTTTCCCCTCTGAGTTAATTCTATGGCATGTTAGAGATGAAGGGTGCAGTGATCCTGCATGGTAGTCTTGGCTTATTAACCCATTTTTTACCCCTAAAAAAAGAAAAAAGAAAAAGAAAAGAATGATATCACATATACAGTTATTCTATGTTTTAAACAAAGTTATGATTCTTTCTTCAAAGGTAAGAAAATCTCCAATGCTTTAAGAAAGCCACTAACCTAATGAACGTTGGTAAAGTAGTCATTTACCAATAGTTCTCATAAATGTCTTTATAATTTATTGTGTGCTTTATTTGAAAGCAAATGTCAGCCCAAGAAGGGAAAGAAAGGCAAGAAAAGATGCATCAACATTATCAGTTCTCTAAAACAGCCTAGTCTTTTCTTAGCCCAAATTGAACTTGGATTCTACCATGTGATACCACAAAGTCATTATTGGGATGTCAATTGAGAAATATAGGACTAAATAACCACCAATTCCCTTTACTCCATTTACATTGATTTAGGTATAACATGACATTTTACTTGGTTGCATTTCCCTTTTGTGATTCAAGGCATGGTTTTATTAGAATTTCTACCCATTTGTATTACACTATCTTATTTGATGTTGCTGTTTTGATTCTTTTTAGTCGTAATTGCCTCAAAATATATAAGTTTGTTCCTTGACGGTGCCATTGATGGATTTAGCTAAATTGTTAGTGTCTTTAGATCTTCTGTATATAACTTATCAAATAAAGACTAGTTAAGGTTTTCGTCCAATTTTCTCGTAGCTCAATCCTTAATAACAATCTTTATTTAGAACATGAGTCCAGCTCAAATAGCTAGATGTAAGTGTTGTCATTTATAATCTTACCATCTAAATTATTAACATGATTCTATTGTCTTTTGGGTCGGATTGTTAGCTTGCAATTTTTAAGTTGAAAATTTTTCACTTTATTTATGGAAATGTAAATACTAGTTAAATTTTGTGCTCGATTTTCTCGTAACTCAATCCTTAATAACAATCTTTACTTAGAACATGATTCTAGCTCAACAACTATTTGATAGCTAGACTTAAGTGTTGTCATTTGCAATTTTATCATCTAAATTATTAACATGATTCTATTATCTTTTGGGTCGGATTGTTAGCTTACAAATTTTAAGTTGAAAATTTTCCACTTACTTCATGGAAATATGTTTTCTTTTTTCTTTTTGAATGCTCATAATTGTAAAAAAACAAAGAATGATTGGTGGTGAAAGCTTTTGAAGTAATGAAGAGATAGTAGGAAATATGTTTAAGTTTTAGTTAAAACATATCCCTGATAAACTTATTTGTACTAATGCCTAAATTTATATCTTTTTGGTACAAGCATCAATTGCATTTAATAGCCTATGCTCGTTGCACAAAACATCAAATAGTTAACAGGCTTTAAATGTGTACAAATAAGGGAAGCTGGCTTGAGTTTGGCTCAATTGGGCCTTTAACGGGTTCATGCGCTAATCAAGCTCAAAAGAAGCTCCGATTTCCAAGCTCAAGCTCAGCTTGTCAAAAGATTGTTAGGCTAAAACCTTGCTTGTTCATGAAAATTTGCCAAGCTCTTGAGCATAGCTTATTTGACAGTTCTAGTAGGTAAGGCTTAAAAGTTAAATTGAAAGGGGACCCTCATGTCATTGAACGTTACAACTCTCACTTAAAGGTAGGAAATAAAAAGGGCAAGGTCTTTTTATCAGTGGCTTCTATTTTTTACCTTTCCTTTGCAATAGATGCGGAATTATAGCGTATTTTGTCACTATCCCCTAATCTCACATTTATGATTTCCGGTCTTTGAGTTATCGAGAAATAAATTTTTGGCATGATTTTGTTGTACTATCGGTGTTTGCTGATTTAAAGTTTTCCAATTGTGTGAATATCATGATCATTTTTTTTCTTGCACAAACAAATATGATGATCTAATTCCACTTAATTATTAAAGAATATCAAAATTGAAAATATGTAACTTGACTTGAGATTGTTGAAGTAGTGTCCATCTTTGAGTCAATGGAAAATAACTTCCTAGATATGAATTTTAAGGAACTGAGTATAATTTGTTGTATGTTACATGAGTCCTCTAATGATATAAATATTATATTTTAATTCAATTTCTATTTGAAGATATTAATGTTTAGGGCAGATGATTTTGTGTAGAAATGTTAAGTATCAGTAGGTTTTCTTAAAGTTGCAATAAATTTCATTTCTCTTTCACAGAAGGTCAAATAATTATAATATTAGTTATGGTGCATACAAACACCATGTCGTAAAGTAAACATTCTAAAAAAATGAAAATTATAAAGAACTAAAAGTTATAGAGTAAAAGTACTCAAAATTAATAGTCTTTCTTTTTGCCTCATTAAACTCATAAATTGTCACAAGCAAGCCTCCAATGTGCTTATGAGCTAAGTGTAAGTCTAGCAGCTTGCATACGATTCAATCAAAATTTACATCCCTAGATGTACATAAACTTCACCAGAAGCAATAAGGATTGCCGAGTACTTTTCTAAGCAATTAATTTTTTTGTGTACCTATCTTTTTATTCTCTCTTTTACTGCTCAGTGGTTATACCTAACTTTGATTCTTTGTTTCTTCATGTATGTTCTCTAATTTTTATCTTAGCCGACATTGCATTTCTACATGGTTAGCGGATACAGTAAGGTATCTCATATTTGAAATTGGACATGAAACATGATGTCTTTTTTAATGCTAAAACTATGCCTATCTTTGCTCTGGTTTGTGTGAGAATATGGCAGAATATTAGACTATAATGATTAAGAGAGTAGTAATTTTAGAAGTTAGTTCCATCTTGGAAGCAAATTCACTTGATCAGTTGTTCTTTAGAGTAAAGTAGACTGCTAGCTACTAGCAAGTTTCTTGCACAGGTGAAAGTGGTTTGATAACTTCTTAATATTGAAAATAACCCAAAGGTCTTAGTAAGTTATCTATCATTCTCGTTAGCAATATGTAAAAGAAATCTTTATGGTTTTTTGTAGCTCCTATTCTAACTCTTTGTAATTTAGTATTCTTCTTTTTCTCATCCCTGTGTTTTTTATTTTGTTTTATTCTTGCCTTACTGTCTAACTTACTTTATTGAGTATAAAACTCATTAAATTAAGTTATTTGTGTTTTTCTTGGATCTATTCTTGATGAAACCCTCCCCCCCCCCCCCCCCCCCCGCCAAAAAAAAAAAAAAAAAAACTCTTCTCTATTTAAGAGAAAATGTAAGTAAAACCATTTCATGCTGGGTATAGTCTCATGGTAATGGTTGCATGAACTTTCTCATTCCAAACTAGGTTTGTTGTGGTGATGCTTTTCTGGGTTTCTTTAAAACCTTTTGCTTTAAAGAACAACCAACACATGGTGCATTTGTCACTGTTTTGTATTTTTTTATATAATTTGACCTTTTATCTTTATTATTATATGTTTTCTTTGTCTTTTTCTAGGTCACACTCTCAGTTCCAGTTTACTTTTTAAATTAATCCGCTTTTCAAATTAAGACCATATACGATAATGGTCTTCTAAAATAGTTGAAAATGATGACAGAAAAATCATCTATGTAATCCCTATGATAGTGCATGACGTTGAATGCTAAAGGCTTCACTGCTTGAGTTTTCCTGTCTTCATATGCCATATTCTATTGTTTTGATGGAGACTAACTATAACATTTTGATAGTTCAGCTTTTATTTTATCAGTAGTTTCAAATGTTCTGACCCTATGATTTTCAAGTTGAATGTTAGTGTAATATGAATATTTATTATGATTTTTGACGAACTAGCTAGGACCACTAATCTATGTAGTGCTTTTGATTAAAAAATTGCCATATACTGGGAAGTTGCTCTTGTTTTTGTTTTGAAATGTGCTTGTAGTTTCTACCTCATGCAGGTAGAACAACATCATTTGTCTAGATCATTTTGTAGGGTCATAGATGTTTGAAGTGATAGTGGTGATCTTGATTTATATATATTTAGCTGGTCTTTCGCACATTATTATTCAAGTTAAAGAGGATTCAATTACTGAAAAACCTCAGCTCTGATGATATATTACTGTACATATTCTCTGGATTAAATGTATTTAACATAAAGTATACAATTTTGTAAAAAGTAGAGTATGAGACAAAGTCCAATTTGCTGGTGTAGCATATTTGTAAAACAAGTTTTGTCGTAGTTTAACTAGCAATTGCTTATCACCTGATAGTGATGGCCAATAATGTAGAGCAAATCATAATTGATATGGCTTTTCTCATTTGGATGGTGTTTTGCAGGTGAGTAACTATTGTGCAAGTGAGCTTTGTGAAATTGTGGCAGAGGAGTGGAAAAGAGGAAACACTTTAGATGGATGGAGTAAGAGGTGGGAGGTTGCGCTGTGCAAGGCTTTTGAGAGGGCTGACAATACCTTCAAAGATGAGGTATTAGCACCCAAGTATGTTGGGTCGACTGCTTTGGTACTGATTATCTCGGCCTGCCAGATAATTGCTGCTAATTGTGGTGACTCTAGAGCTGTACTTTGTCGTGGGGCACGAGCAATCCCATTGACAGTTGACCACAAGGTTTCTCACTGTTTTTCAGTTTCATCTCTCCATTTACAATAGATTAAGGTTTTACATTCCAAAACTAAGGTCTTTTTCTTTCTCTCTCTCTTTTTTTTTTCTTTCCTTTCTTCCTTTTATTTTGATTCTTTGCAGTTCTTGCCCTTTATTTGGGAAACCACTGTGTTAAGAGATTCTCTGGGCCCAATCCTCAACACTCTAAGATTCTTTTCTAAACCTCCTGCCATTCCAAGCGGAGAGATAAACAAATAGACTATTGCCATAGCATTGATTAGGACCATTCCTAGTGATTGACATGATTGAAGACCAAGAAGTAAATTATTTATCAGCCAATTGTTCTTCTTATGGCTTAGATTCAAGGATCCAGTCTCCTGATCTTCTGGAAAGGAAAAATGACTATACATTCTTCCTTTCAGTAGGATTAGAAGATTCTATCATTTATGGCATTTGAAGTCATCCCTTTATCTTGTTCTCTCTATCATTAGCAGTGATGCACTTATTGATTTCTGGTTAATACTCACTTATCAGAGTTGATATGAACTTCATTTTTTGTGTCAACAGGCATTTTACTTAGCGCTTTTTCTCATTGATTATTGTGTCAAGAACATTCATCTTTTTATGAAAAAATGAGAACTATTTGCATGATTTATCATAAGTATCAAATGCATTCCTACTTTATGAATAAAAGAGGAGTACTTTCATGATTTATATAAGCTACTACAGGCTTTACAATAATTTAAGCTGTTTTATCTTTGTCATAGTATCCAAAAGTATGGCCCAAATATCTCATCAGCTGATGGATATTTATTGCTGTCTCCTATTTATCTCTGACAAGCATACTCATACTTCGCTGTAAAGTGCAAATCTATACATTGTTTCCTGGTGCCTACGTTCTCTTTTGTCATCACTTTTCTACATATGTGGTCTTGTCTTTTTTTGCAGCTTGACCGTGCAGATGAGATAGAAAGGATCACTAGTAGTGGAGGTAGAATTCTAAACTGGGGCTGTTTAAGGGTGGAGGGAGTTCTTTCCATGTCAAGAGCAATAGGTTTTTCTTGCTTCTATACCGCCTAATTATTTTTTCATTTCCATTCGATGAGTAAGAGAATTGGTATACAATTTTAATTCATGTTAGTGATTTGTTTTTCAGCCAAAACCAAAAGGTTGTTAATTTTTGTGTTTGCTGAAATTCATTCTAATATTATAGCTATTCAGGCTTTGTTTTCGTGTCAAAGAATAAAAACTGGAGACATACAGTAAAACCAATCTGCAAGTATGCAGGAGCAGTATAGCAAATCCTATGTTGCTCCTACTCCATTTTTCCTGTACTATGTGGGGCATGACCCTCCAAATAAAGGAAAATTTTAGGGAAAATTGAACACACCCGTCTGGAGCATATACTCATGCATTTACTCATGTCTCATTCACACCAAGTCCAAGCATCATAGAGCAATTTATTAGATTGTAAAATAATGTATATGTTTTATCTTACCATAAGCACCACTTTCTTGTGTTTCCTTTTAGATATAGAGTAGACTATGTCGCCAATTTTATGACTTTTATGTATTGGATGACTCTTATCCAGTAAAAATGAAGCCCATTCCAGTGTCATCTCATATATTTTGTAACACATGTTTCTTGCTGTCAAGTTTCTTCTACCCAAATGGTTTTCCATAAGAATTGCAAAATTAAATCAGATGATTTTATATGTATCTACTAACTTGCATGTTATAGTCTGGATTAACTGTTATCAAATGATAATGCAGTGTTTGTTCCCCCTCCCACTTAAATTCTGGTTGACCTAGAATCACATCTCAAAATTTGAAGCTATGTTAAGTACTAGTATTTTACCATTTAGCTGCATGGGTATCATATTATACTTCCTTTTATTGATATTATGTATAATTATTACATTATTAATTTGTATGGTGTGACTTTCAGGTGATCATGATTTGAAACCATGGGTAATTTCAGTGCCTGAAGTTACTTTCACGACTAGGACTGAGGAAGATGAATGCTTGATTTTGGCAAGTGATGGACTCTGGGATGTTTTATCCAACGAAGAGGTTGTAAAGCTAGCTCGCAAAGAATTGAGACAGCGACGGAGGCTTGTTGGGGTTAATGATAGTGCATTCCCGCCAGCTTGGTATGTTTCTCAGCAGGTTGTTAAGCAAGCTCTTGATGCATGTAGCTATGATAACGTGTCCATCATTGTTGTTGACCTGAAAATTCCAAGGATAAGGCATTAGAAAAAGCTTTGAAAGGTACTCTCTCTCTCTCAACACCCTTGCCTTCATTTCTCCTGGTGTTAGCTTAGGTGGTTATTGCTTATAATTGTTTCAGTTATGGAGTTGAAGCATAGACTACTTCCTATTGACAACTGTTATCTAGTATAGAATGGTCAAACTGGTTTATTCTTTTATGTGAGTGAAGAAGGTTGCAAAATGAATCGGCAGCATATAGGATAAGAGTACTCTGTTTTCTTTTCTTTTTTTTTTTCCTATTTCCCAAATTGTTTTGCATTATATTGAATGGTTTGTGCTAGCTGCAATCTTTCACTCTCTTGTTACCAACAACTATTTTTTGGCAGCTTATACCATGGCAATACTTATATATTTTGTTTACAAAGCTCATTATTATCTGAATTTTTTGCTGCTAGCTTCAGTCTTTGCTTTAGCCTCTATTTCTTATTAGATATGATATATGATATAAAAAAGAGACTGATCATAATAACATGTTTAAGAATTTCTTAGGCTGTGCCACTGCATAATTCCCTTCGTTTTAGAATGAGAATTCATCTTTAAGTTTTTATTTTCACTATTGCTACTATTTCTTAGGCTGTGCCACTGCATAGATGAGAATCTTGCTTTAACATCACCATAGAATATTTAAACCAAATGAATCTTTAAGAACGTCATTAAATTTATTAATTGTCTTGACAGGTATGTGAAGAAAGGAAAAGGGAAGACCTCATGATGTTGAAGATGATAAAGATAACAGTATTGTAAATAAAAAGGTGGTTTCTAACCTGGAAAACTTGAGGCTTATGCACCTGCCTTTGCTCTAATAAATGACTTTCAATGACAATATTGCTTTTCTTACCGAGAATACATTGATCTTCTCAATGGAAGATTTAATGGCATGCTTTTAAAGTTTTCATTTCAAAATGATCTTGCCTTTTTGATGATATCCTCCATCAAAATAGACAGTTTATCTAGTCGAATTAATGACCATCGCGAGACAGACAGGTTCATTTATATTTGATTAATTTTGAGAAACCTGAAAAAGTCAATTGTCGCTCAAATTTGAGAGACCTTTGATGACGTCTTTGACGGATTTAATAATAAGATTTAGTTGATAGCAAAACTGGTAATGACGAAGTTGATCAACGGCAGCCATGGCAACTGTTTATGCCTTTACCATTAATAGATGGATAGGTTTTTTTCGTGAATCGTAGGGTCTTGTATTGATATGTGAACATTATAGTACTAAAAAAAGGAGGAAGCAAAACAAAGCATAATTGAGTTTGACTGTGAGTGCTTATAGTGATGGGATAAATTGTTCAGATTGTGAACATTTTCCATTTCCACAGTCCGGAAACAGGCAGTCCTGGAATTAGGAAACAACATCAAAACTGAACCTCAAAATACTCGGCGACACAGCCAAAATTAATCTCTCGCCTGGACAACTGAGAATGTCATTTGAAAATGGTTGGCCTGGGCAACGGAAAGCGACACTTCCCCTTAACCCTGCGACCCTTCCCCTTAAGCCTGCAACCCTGGGTGAAGGCAAGGTTTGATATCAAGCCCTTGGACCTTAGTATAACCATCGAATAACTTCCCCAAAGGAAGCTGACTTTCATATATCATTTCAGTAGTTACCTCAGGGAAAACCTAACTGCTACATTTGTTGGCAGCAGGCAGGAAGAAAAAAAATGTCTTGAGCATTAGCCACTTGGCAGCACCATGGTTCTTTGTTTTGAATGCGATCCATGCTTTACCTGCTTTTTTTTTTTTTTTTGGCTGATGTGCTATCATCATATCAGTAATTCCGTGGCTCTATTCATCATTCGATTCTTCCTTTCTTTTCAGGTTTGTTAAGAGGATCATGTCTCATTCAGTTTATTTGGATAAAATTTTTGCGGACGGGAGCCAAAAGAAGCTAGCCTTATAGTGGGGCTCGCTACTTTCAGTAATTGAAATAGAGAGATTCTAAAGAAGATGGGTAGAATTGATTCTGCAACAAGAATATCTATGGAAAGGTTAGTGAGAAAGCAGCCACAAAGTTAACTTCTGTATGATTGCATCAATGCCCACAAGTTAGGATTATTCCATTAAGCACATTCTTGAAGAAGAAAAAAAGGGATATTTTTCAAGAAGCAGACAGCTAATTCCTTTGACATGGCCATCCTTTGCCAACCAATTCCCTTTACAGGCATTGGCATGGCAAAACATGTTCTTTTCTTGTCATTGAATCTACCAGCTCTAATTTTTCAGCAAGAACCATTTCTTGTAAAAATCTAAGAGGAGACCAGAGATTTGAACCTTTGGAGCTTACCCCACCCATTTAGGAGTAATAATCACTGCAGGACTAGACCTGGATTGTTTACATAAACTTCATTGTTGATGAAAAAACAGTTTTGACCCTCAGGCACTTAGCTGCTAAAATCTTTTGATAGTTGCATTGATGTAGATCCGATATCAATTCCTGTTTTGGAAGTGAAGTGTGCATTAGTCTATGTCTTAACCATAACTCTGGTAAAACATTATCAGGAAATATCTGTGACAATGTGGACAAAGAAACATTCTTTTCTTGTATCTCTATGGAACTTCCTGGATCTGAATTTGCTGTTGTTAGATGGTTTCAGACAAGGAACATCTAGAAGCTACTTTTTCCCCATACCTTCCTTCATGGGAAGCCATAAGGTATTTAGACCAATCTAAGTACCAGAAGAATTCTGTTCTTTTTCAGGATTCTAATATAATTACAATGTCCTTGGAAACCATAATACTGGAGTATTGTCAAATTTTTCATCTTTTCTTTTCTTGTTGATAATAGAATAAATGAAATTCTTCTAGAAAAAGGAATAAGTAAAGGAAGATGTTATCCAAATAAGTAAAGGAAGATATTATCAATCTTTGCTTTCATAAAGATCTTGGCAAAGGTTGGTTCAAGCAAGTTATATCAGTCCAATTCATGGTGAAAATATGTTCACAGGATACTGACAGTTACAGCACAAATTAACATGGAAAAATATGGTAGTCATTAGATTATTTTTCGAATAGAAATCTGACTTCGAGCCATATTATTGCTCACCTCTTGTATCAGAAAATGACAAAAAAAAAACGAAAAAAGAAACTTTAGCATTGCAATGTATAAACATATATTGCCCTGGAACAGAACTCAACTAAAGCAACTTGGAGCTGCATGCTCAATGGAGGAAATCCTCTCCCTTATTGTAGATTCAACCAGATAACTTAGATTGATATCAGATTTTTAATACAACCATCAAAATACCTTGTGCACTGAGTTTACTGACATTTTATTGAATTCAAGAATAATTCAGTAGACTATAGAGTACAAATCTTGCTCTTCAATCCTTCGGCTGGAAAAAGTAACAACCAGACCAGACTAAACTCTAATTGCTGGTTTACTGATGCAACTTTTTTTTAGTTTGAGGGGAAAGAACTTAGCTATGATGCTATCCCAAGCAAACTTAATAGTTGAAGCTAGGGATTTGATCAGTTCCTCGGTAGGATTCTTATCAACATAGGAGACAGTGATAGGAAAAAAGAATCAAAATTGATGCCCCAAAAAAATAAACACAAAATCATATTCTGATACTACTCCACCAACACCTCACAGCTTTTAACTCTTTTAACAAAGGGGTAGATGTGACCACACATGAAAGAGAGTGGGAGGAGGGAGAAGTAGTGTAAAATAGTTTATCTGTTCTCACTTGGGGGGGGTGGTAGAAGAATAAAGGCAGAATCTTTTCCCAAACACTTCCTGTCTTCTTTTTAACATGTTGCAAAATTTTGCAGGCACATAGACAGACATGACAAGGACCAATGAATGGAAAGAGTATATAAAGTTATTATTTCAATCATTATTGGGATTTTTCTGCCCTTGTAGATGATTTATTTTCCTCTTTTAGAAACTGAAAATGATTCTCTTTCTTGTTTGTCTGACCTCATATTGTTATTCTCCACCTGTCAAATTCACCATTTTAAACAATTAACATATGCATCCGAATATTTGTCTCGATCAAGATCCCATGCTCAAACAACAACCTTCAAATCTTCTTTTCTCCAAATAAAGCTTTAATTATGGCACATTAATGCTATGATAAGATCCTATGTAGCTTAAGAAATATGCAGCTTATGGCCTTTCTGGTTGAGGGGTATAGCTTCCCATTTATGGTTCAGTCACCATTAAGCACTTTCTAAGCTTATACTATAAAGAATCCTTGTTCCCTTGCTGTAGGTTGCTCAATTAAATTGAGATATATGGCATATTTAAATACTTTATCCAGTCTTTCAAAGGCATACTTAAATCATTGGTTTATACTTTTAAACCTTTAATAATTCACCAGAAAGTTTAGTGTTTTAAACATTCTTTAATGTTAATTCATTGTTTCACAACCATGCAGAAAGCTTGGTTTATCATCAGATCAGTTTTTTCGTACCGTATTGTAGATATAGGACTTAATTAACATTAATTAATTAATCAATTGAATTTCTACTAATTTTCCTTTCAAATAAATTACGAAGAAGCATTTGATTCGATAATGAGTGCATTTTTTAAAAAATTATATTCTAATATCTAAATCTTTCTATTAATATATATTTAAAAAAATATATTCACATGAGAATGATATGCTTCACGTGAGCCCTAGAAAATATATGTGACTCCTTAAATTTTGTGAAAGGGAAAAGAGGAGGGCTACTTTTGCAATGGAGTATCTAAAGCTCTTGTTATAAAAAAAAAAAAATTGAAGTGATGCAAGTTAAAACATAAAAAGTTAGCAGCAATGAGCTGTGTTCATATCAAATCAATGTTTGGATCTATTTAAGATTCCCTTCTTTGAGGCAATTAATGAATTTGTGACAACAAATTGGCATGATATATAGCCAATTGCATGTTTTAAATTTCATTTTGTTAGTGGAGATCAGTGGAAGAATTGACGCTTACTTCATTTTCATTTGTTAAATTTCTGTCAAAAAAAGATTATAAACAACTCATTAACTTTATGCAAGTAATCAAAAGATTTTTCAAGACAAAAGATCGATTAGGTCATTTGATATGAGTTTGTGGATCATAGAATCAAAGCTTTAATTGTCACAGCATAAGATTAAAATACTTAGTAAATCGATAATTTATTCATAATTTTAAAATTTAGCCATTATATGTTATAGGGTTTGAGGAAGATTAATTGGAAAAATTAAAGAAAATATAGAATAACAACTTCCAAACTTTGGCTTCAGCATGAACAATGAACATAATGACTTAGCTTAATTTAGGGTTCTTCAGTATAAATTCTTTGTCTCATTGATGCCCAATAAAATATGTTTTTTTTTTCCCAATTGCGGCCAACGCAAACGTAAAGAAAAGCGGAAATGGCATATGCTAATCACTTGTCTTGGCCTTTGGTTGCTCTTTTACAAAAAATCATTCTTCATTAGCCAGCTCTTCACCTCAGTGAAAGCAACCAAATAAGAATATTTTGGTGCATTCAAATTCAGCTTCTTCATTACACTCTCCATATTTAAAATAGTTTGTTTGAAGTTAGAATAACTTACTTTTTTTGTCACCTAATTTTTTGAAATATTATATTTTGATCACCAATAGTTATAAATATTATCGTTTTGATCACTCAACCATTAAAAAAAAATTAACATTTGTTTCGCATTGCTTTTCATATTAGGTAATTTTGGTCATGTGGTATTTCCACATGTCAATAATGTTAAACATTTTTTGAACCAATATTGATAATAAAAATGTATTCTTTCAAAATTGGATGATCAAATTAAAAAAAAAAATTTAAATGATTAAAAAAAGTAATTTACTCAACTTAATAGAGAACATATTCTTATTTATCATGTGAAGTACAATATTTGCATCTTGTAATTTGTAAAGCATAAAAGATGGTACATGTGTTAATAAAACTTGAAAGTGGAAAAAATTAACATATTTTAAATTAAAAAAATATGCCAATGTATCAGCCAAATAGTGAAATATGATAAATTTATAAAAATAAAGTAATTGATTGCTTAAATTCACATCTCAACAAATGAGTAGATATTATATATATATATATATATATGGCATCTTCAATCATGTAAACAATGATCATTCATAGAAACAATATCCATTTTTAAATCATTTAAAACCTGTTTTTTACATCTCCTTTCAAGTTAAAATTCACTCAAGCCTATCCACAAAATGCTATAGTCCTATAATTAATTAATCTCTTGATGTGAGAAATTAACAATTTCATGTCCTGCTTTTGTTACCTTACATAATATATTATGTTGTCTCTTTACTGTTAACGGTATACTATTAGTATGAGTTGAGTTTTTTTAAAAAAATCTGATATTTTTTCTTTTAGAAACAGAATCAGAATAGCAGGCCCCAATTATAATGAAACCCAACAATGGAAAGATACTAAAATCTCCATTTTCTAGCTCCTTTAAAACCCACTTATGTCCATATATATTTTTTGTGCACCTTTTCAACTTTTTTGCTGGTGAAAGGATTTCTCTACTATATAAACCTCTTATTGGCTCTTTGCATTGCATATTATCACTGAAGCCTTCAACTTCTTTTTCTCCCTTTTCTTTCCCTTCCTCTAGCTTGCTCTTTTTTCATTTCCTTCCTCTAGCATTAACACTTTCTCTTAATGGAGAGAAACCCCATGCGTAGGCAGCTTGCAGTCATGAGGCAATCCCTGTTTGATCAGGTTTGTTTTCCTCAACATTTGCTGTTTGTAAAATGAACAAAACTTGAGCTTCCTAACATTTGGAAGTGCTATAAACACCATACGCACCGGAGGGTATAGGAAATTTAACCTGGAAATACTGTTGCATTATGTTTATGCTTGAGAAATGGATTCACCTCTGGAAGTTTGATTAAATTGTTTGATCTGAGTTAAACCATCTGATTTAACCACACTCCCCCAAACAAAAAAAGACAATGAAGAAATTAAGGATAGCTAACCCTGAACTATATATGCGTCTGCATGCACATGTAAATTCCTATCTGCTACTCCTTCAAAGTTTTATTATGTTCATTGCTAACTTTTTATGAGGCCATAGCCAACAACTAAGTATTTGATCATTGCAGGGATATCTTGATGAACAATTCGTGCAGTTGGAGGAACTCCAAGATGATGCTAATCCAAATTTCGTGGAAGAAGTTGTCACCTTATACTACCGCGATTCAGCCAGATTAATCCTTAACGTGGAGCAGGCCCTGTAAGTTCAAATTCCTTATAATACAACAACAACAACAACATATGAGGATGATCATCATGAGACAAATGACAATCATGCTATTTGCTTATTGTGCTCTTCAGGGAGAGGAAACCTTTTGATTTTAATAAGTTGGATGGCTATATGCATCAATTCAAAGGAAGCAGTTCAAGGTAATAACAAGCCACTAAAATCTTTTTATTTAGAAAAAATACAAAAAATTAAGTATGTGAAAAGAGTCACAACCTTGTAGAATAAGACTTATTATAGGTAACATCAAGTATATTCTATGCTGGCTTTAACACAAACCAATGATTTTTATTTTCATTCTTTCTGATTGGTTGCAGCATTGGAGCCAAAAAGGTGAAAGCTGAGAGCACACTGTTTAGGGAATATTGCAAGTCTGGAAATGGAGAAGGGTAATAAATCTGAACCTTCATTTCTTATCAGCATAATTCATCTGATATCATCAACAAACCCAAAGCAAGTTTGGGCCTTCTTTAAATTAAGCTTCCAGTTTCAGTATACTTAGTTGAATTTTCATGCTTGCAAGCAGATGCATGAGGACTTTTCAACAACTGAAGAAAGAATATGCAACATTGAGAAAGAAGCTTGAAGCTTATTTTCAGGTTCCTATTATTTTCCAATTTTTTTCTTTGTCCACCTTATTAAATATGTGTTTTTAACTTGTTATCTGTGTTTTTTTTTTTTTTCCAACTATGAACAAATGTTCAGCTGGCAAGACAAGCTGGTCCGATGGAGACCGCATGTCACCCCAAGTAATAAGAGAGATATATGGTCCAAAGCAGGATGCAGAAATGAGTAGTGCATGAATGTGGCAAGAAATATATATTGTGGTTGGTGAATTTGTTATAATCTGTTTTTGTATATGCTCCAAATTCACCTAATTAGCTTTGTAGGCCTCTTAGATTTTGCTTGTAAGTTACGTATTTAGATTGAGTTTGGTGATTGAAATGCTTTAGTTTCTTTGCTGTATCAATCAATATATATACTTTAGTATCCATTTTCAGAGGAATTATCATTTCAATTTTTTTATATATTTTTTTATTTTGAAAAACAAAAATTCCAATCCTGCTCTTTGAACAGAAAATATAAATAAATCAGAGTTAAAAGTATGCCTTGTGGGTGCAATATAGAACAAAAAAAAAAATATGATACACTAATCAAAAAGCAAAATTTATTCATTATTCCACAAATAGCTTTTAGACGTACGATTAGAATTATTCTCATGACATCATTTTTAGTGAATCTCTATCAACATTTATGTCATGCACAAACCATTTTTTTTTTTTTTTGGGTTACAGACAACTTATTTCGAAGGGTTGCAATCTACATGAGTTCGGATTCAAGAAGCCCAACCCAAGCTAGATTGGGCTTTGAATAATTGTAATAGTATGAAAAATAAAATTTATGTGTCAAATTAAATGTTCAATTAAATTTGTACGACTCCATAGCTTAGTAAAATTATAAGAATGATGGATTACTTGAACATTTAATTAAATGTTAGAAAATTTTGTTATGTTTTTTTTTTAATTAAGTTTAATTTTTTTCTCAAAAATTTTATTTAACAAAAAAAAATAAATAATTAAAATTTACAACTTTTAATTTTTGTATTATTGAAGCCCATAAAAACATACAAGATATATTAAAGTAGATAGTTATATTAGCAAATTCAGGTGCAAAAAAACATAAGTTTGATGGTTAATTTGAAAAGTCAACAATAGGTCCTCCATGAGGTTTGATTTTGGGTATAACTAAGATAAAATTTTTTAAACGAAGTTCAAAAGTTTTTAATCAGAAATGATTTAATAAAAAATTTAGATTAATAGATAGATAGAATTAAATAAAATGATTAATAATATGTAAAAAGAATTAAAAATACAGTTTATAATATAAATTTGATTAGTACTTATTAATGATAAAAAAGTAAATCAAAATTTTTATTAAAAATATTTATCTAAAAAGTTATAAAATTTTATTAATTTTTTTTAATTTATATATTTGATTTATATAATAAGATATAGAATTAGAAGTCTTGACGTGGATTTGATTCGACAATGGATCATAATTTTTTAAATTCATTTTTTTATGTATTTACATTTTAATCATTAATTTTTCGTGAACGAGTTTTGAGTTAATGGTTAAAAAAAAACTTAAAAAATTTAAGTACAAGTTTTATTTATAAAGTTTTAAATTTAAATTTTAGTGAAGATGGATTTGATTGTTAGTTGATAATTTAATAATTATAATTTAATTATGATGTAAATACTTAATTATAAGTTTAAAAAATAATTGATTATCAAATTATCTACATTGGCTTGTTATGTATTTATTCATTCCGTACATATTTGACGTCAATGTTACTGTCAACAATAAAATCTCTCTTTTTTTTTTTTTAAGAAATAAAATCTTTAATATGATCCATCCATTAAATTGATTGGATCGAAAATCAAATTCTCAGTAATCCAACTTTTTAGTTATTAAAAATATATAACATAAATTTTAAATAAATAAAAAATTAAAATATAAGATAAAAATTAATGAAAATGATAAAATTAACTGACGTAATATGTTAGGAGAGTGTTATATTTTAATTTTAATAATTATGATTTAATATGTGGCAGTCTTATATATATTTATTTATAATTTAAAGAATTAAATTTGAAAAAAAAATTTATGAGACGAGATTGCCACTTTTTGCATAATACTTGTGCGGCAAGACCGAATACTTTTCATGTACGAAAAAAAATTTTAAATGTGGATTTAGTTCTAAGAAAATAATTAGTCTTTATGGCAAAAAAAAAAATCTAATTTTGTTTTAAAAAATTAGAAGAAATACTAAATATGCAAAAAAAAAAAAAAAACAAAGCTCAGTCAGCCGAATAAAAAGGGCTTACTCTCCCCTTTCTCGTTCTCAGTATCTTTTTCCGGTCATCCACTCTTTTCTCTTATAGCTGTAAATACATTTATATATCAATGGGCTTTCGTAATTTTTCTTCAATCTTTCAAATCCGATCAATCTAGGGTTTTTCAATCCCCCCCAAAGCAAAAAAATCTCTAATCGAAAATTTTGGGGGTTTTTTATTCCCTCTTTGCTAGGGTTTCTGTACATTCAATCGCGACTTTGCTTTGCCCGACAAGATTTCCCTTACTCCTTTTAGTCTGTTTTATTGTATTTGAAAAATTAGTCAATCGGATTTTCTCTGGGTTATTTTTTGTAATATATTTGGAGCTGGTTTTTGCATTCAAGTATTTACAGGTTAGATTCCAATTCATTCTCTATCTCTTTCTTAGGGTTTTGGAATTGGGAACTCAAATCCTTTCTCTGTTTAGCTCCTTTAACGCTTTCTTTCCCTTGATTTTTTTTTCTTGACCTGTTAAATTAAAAACTTTGGCGGTTTATTTTGCAAGGGTGTAGCTACTTCAGCTGAATTTTGGAAATTGGGAGATCAAAGTTTTCAAATTTATTCCTGTTGGAGGTTTTCTTGGTTAGGTTAAAAAAAATTGGAAATTTAAAATTTGAGTGACTACCCAATTTAAAAGTTTCCATTTTGTTTGAGAAACAAAAGTTTCCAATTTGGATCAGTTTCTGCAAGAAAACTTAGAAAAAAAAGAAACCCAGAATTCAAAATCTCAACCTTTCTCTTTGACTGTCTTTTTTGGGGGGGTTCTTTTTTATTTATCTCTGTTTTTGATATTGTGATAGAGGAAATAAAAAAAACAAAAAGAATGGCCTCGTATAGGCCATACCCTCCACAATCCTTTCCTCCACCACCACAAAATCAAAACCCTCTTCCGCCCCAGCAACAACAACATTATAGTCAAAGTTACAATCAAATGAATCCAAATTCGAATTATCATTACCCTCCTGCAAGACCGTCCCAACAACAACAACAACAGCCACCGCCTCCTCCACCTCCACAACAGCAATATTCTTATCCCCCTCCGCCTCCTCCACCTCCGGATTCTTCCTATCCACCGCCCCCACCTCCTCCCTTGCCTACAATGCCACAAAATTCGATCAACTCACGGCCACCAATGTACTATCCACCTTCACAGTATGGTAATCAAGCAATGCAGCCATTGCAGCCACCTCCCCCACCGCCTCCCCCAAGTTCTCCGGGTTCTTCGATCCCTCCACCACCTCCCCCGAGTTCTCCTCCACCGCCACCTCCTCCAAAGGAGAGTGTTGGGGACAAGGGGTTTAGTGAGCGTAGTAAAGGGGGAAATAGGGATTTTTCAGGTTCTGGAAGGCGTGAACACGGGCATTCCAATCATGGGGTTGGAGGTAGAGAGCACAAGCCGATGATGCCTCCTATCAAGAAGCCAAATGGACCTGCAGGAAGGGTGGAGACGGAAGAGGAGAGAAGGTTGAGGAAGAAGAAGGAATTTGAGAAGCAAAGGCAAGAGGAGAAGCATAGGCAGCATATGAAGGAGTCCCAGAAGACCCTGATGGTGTCTTCCGGCAAAGGGCATGGTTCAATGGTCGGCTCACGGATGGGAGATAGGAGAGCTACACCGTTTTTGAGTGGTGAGAGGATTGAGAATAGATTAAAGAAGCCAACTACATTCTTGTGCAAGTTGAAGTGAGTATATAGAAATGCTGTTGCTTTCTTATTTACAATTTCTTTTTGGTTCTTAAGACTTTTTTATTTTTCATGTTTATTATCTTGCCTTAATGAGTTTTATCCAGTTTAGGTTGAATGGTGTTGTCTCTTGGCCTAGTGGAAAAATTCTCGATTTTCTTTTTGGCTTTCTGATTTGCGGATGAAAATCAGTTATGATAATAGACTGGTGACTTTCCTGTCTGTAAGTTTTCCCAGGGTGACTTATGATAGAGTTTGATAGAGTAATTAGTGCTGGATGTGCCTCTGATATGTGCATTCTTAGTCATTAGTAGGCTGATGGACCATAGATTAACTTGAAAATTATCAGTTCTTGCGCCTTCATGTTGTGGAACCCATGCATATTGTAGCTAAAGTAGTTTTGTTAACAATGGGATTTTAATTTCTTTCAAATGTGTCTCTCCACTGTTCCTTGCATTTGGATGTTTGGTCTGAACAATGTATTTAATCTTTATTTTTTGCATGCAATTTCCTTCTTATTTTCCCTACATGTGAATTTTTTTTTTTTTTGCAGGAAAGTGTTTCTTTTGATTATTTATTTGACTGTTTAAGTATTGCAAATATTTATACTGTTTACTTCCAATAATGACAAACACTGTATTCTTTAGATTCCGAAATGAACTTCCTGATCCAAGTGCACAGCCAAAGCTTATGGCTCTGAAGAAAGATAAAGATCGGTAAGAACTACTTCTTTCACTTTAAAGAAAGATGACTATGTATTTTCTCTTGTCAAAAATCCAAGATCCAGTATATTCGTTGGTTGTCTGATTGAATGCATTTACCTTTTTTTCTTTTTTTTTTTCGTTGTTAGTGATGGTATATCTGTGGATATTATTTCTTTTGTTTCTGGAGAAAAATGATAATGGACTGGTGAAATTTTAATTTTAAAAGCTGGTTTCAGTTTTCAGTCTTAATGTCATGATCTAATCCCTTTGTGAAATTTCTTGCTAATATATACTTCTTCCTCACAGATTTACAAAATACACGATCACTTCTCTGGAGAAAATGTACAAGCCTAAACTTTTTGTTGAGCTAGATCTTGGGATACCGCTGGACCTGCTTGACCTCAGTGTATACAAGTATCATATTTCACCCACTTAAAACTTTTTCTTGGATCGTTGCTTTTTTTAACGTGGTTTTGATTATCTCTTTTATGTTTGTTTAATTAGTCCTCCTAGTGTTAGACCACCACTTGCCCCAGAAGATGAGGAACTCTTGCGTGATGATGAAGCTGCAACCCCTATAAAGAAAGATGGTATAAGACGAAAAGAAAGACCCACTGACAAGGGTGTTTCTTGGCTGGTTAAAACACAGTACATATCTCCACTTAGTATGGAATCAACAAAACAGGTAATTGCTAACTACCCTGTTTGTATTTGAAGTTCTTGACAATTATTGCCAAAAGCTGTGTCAAAATTGAATACGTTGGCACTTGCAGTCTTTGACTGAAAAGCAAGCAAAAGAACTGCGAGAACTTAAGGGAGGCCGCAATCTTTTGGAGAACCTTAACAATAGGTTTGTTTGATTCCAACCTCCTTATCTGAAGAGAAGTTTTTTTTTTAAGCAAATTTTTTACAAACTTGTCTAATTCCTGCTTGACATTAAAATGTTGACAATTTTATTAGGGAAAGACAAATTAAAGAAATCGAGGCATCATTTCAGGCATCCAAGTTACGTCCTGTCCATGCAACCAATAAAAACTTAGAGCCCATTGAAGTTATGCCCCTCTTACCTGATTTTGATCGGTATGGAATTAGTTAGTGCTTTTCTGGCTTTATTATTTTTACTTTCTTTTCAGGAACTCGTACATGAAAAAATCTTGATTGTGCATATTGTACGTTTATTCTATCTATCAGGGTGCCTGTGCATTAGTTGATCAAGATGAATAGGCATGTTATTATGGTGTTGATTAGTTGATATATCAATTGTTGTGTGGTCTCATTTTGTTTCTAGCAGAAAGAATCCACATATTGTGGCAGAATGTTTAACTTTACAAGGTTCCTTTCTGGAAGGAAACTTAATTTGTAACTTAAACACATTTAAACAAGATTATTGAGGCCAAACCTGTATTAGGTAGGTGAATATATTGTCTTTAGCTGCATGATTTTTTAAACCTTATCATTATTTGGTAAGCTTGGTTTGGATTTCCTTCTTTAATTGGGAAAACAAGATGAAAAATTTGAGATAAAGACAAAAAAGGCCTCAAGTATTGAAGCTGCCTGGTATCCTGTGTCTATTCTCAAAGCTCTTTCCAACTTGAACCCTACATTTGTTTTTTGGGATAACTTTTGACTCGTTTATCTTCTATATAAAACATGCAAATTAGTATTTTTCACCTCATCTTTCATCCAAATGCAACTGAATGGCATAATACGTAATTATAAAAGTGTGTTTAAATATGCATGTGCCAGGGGGATTCAAGGGGGGGAAGTGGTAGTTGATGGTTTCTCCTTGAATCATAAGGATTTCTAAGGATTTGATGGTTGATTAGGTTATAAAACTTTTTGAATTCAATCATTAGTTATTGTGCTGTGTTACAACATATTCATATCTGTTGTCTGTGTTGTGGTTATACCAGGTACAACGATCAGTTTGTTATGGTGTCATTTGATAGTGCTCCTACAGCTGACTCAGAAATCTTCAGCAAGCTGCATGAATCTGTTCGTGATGATCATGAATCAAGGGTGAGTTAAGAAATGGTTTTATTGCTTGCATTCAGCACATTGATTGTGTATTCTGCTTATAAAATTAGTTAATATCCTGAGATCAGTTTACCACAAGGATTACTATAGTTTATTGATATCTAGGCTTTCTTGTAAGTAAAAATCCAGTAATCTGCAAGATTAGTGGTAGCATACATGATCAAAAGAATGTGCTGCATAATTCAGTTATTATTTAAGATAAATGAAATAAAAGTTAATATGATATATGCATGAAATGCTTCAGGAATCTTTTTGCTGGCCTGAGGATTTCTTTGGAACTTGTTATTGTTACATGAAGTACATATTTTTTGTCAGAGTTCCATGCTTTTTGTTGAAATTAATCCCCATGCAGTCTCAAGGCCCTAATATTACGAGTATGCCTCAAATAGTTAATGGCATCACTGTGGCTTTTATTGAAGAGATGATCATAGTTAACTCTGCACTCTTGTTTTAGGCAATAACTTTTAATTTTATGGTAATGTTTGGAAAGAAAAAGAAACGTTTATATAAATTTACTGAGGAGCAGGGGACACAGTGGCTACTGATTCCATATATTGAGTTAATTTGATATTGGTTTTGATTTTTTTTTATATAATTGCAGGCCATTATGAAAAGTTATCAGGCACCAAGCTCAGATCCGGCTAATCCTGAGAAATTTTTGGCTTACATGGTGCCTTCTCTTGATGAGGTAGATATGCTTGCATTCCACATTATATATCCATCAGCACCATAGATTTTGCTGCGTACATCCTAACTTTCAATATGTTGATTCTAATTGAATTGCTTTGTCATTTTAATTTTCATTTTTAATGGTGACAGCTATCAAAGGATATGTATGATGAGCATGAAGATATCTCATATTCTTGGGTTCGCGAATACCATTGGGATGTATGTAACTTGAATTTTGTAATGTTACTTTGTGCAAGCTGGAGCTACACTTTCATGATAAAACAATCTTTCTGACCCCTTTACAGGTACGTGGTGATGATGCAAATGACCCAACAACATACCTTGTTTCCTTCGATGAAGGAGAAGCTCGCTATGTGGTTATACACTTGAGCAAAATTTACATCTTTTTCAATCCATTTTTGGCAGAAATTCTGTTGGTAACTCTGACCTTAACTCACTTTTTCTCATGTTGTAGCCTCTTCCCACAAAACTTAATTTAAGAAAAAAGAGGGCCAGAGAGGGAAGATCTGGTGATGAGATTGAACATTTTCCTATACCTTCTAGAATTACTGTAAGGAGGAGATCAACAGTTGCTGCAATAGAACTGAAAGAGCCAGAGGTATGGTCATGAAGTTTGCGTGATAAGTATACTAAATTCTAAATTCTTATTATGTGTGCATCTTTTTTTCTGGTATGCAATTAGGTTTATTCCAACTCGAGGGGCGGTATTTCAAGCTCAAAGATGGGAAGGCTAGATGCCGAAGATGACCTTGGAAGACCACAGAAGCTTGCACGACACCAAGATATTGATCAATATAGCGGAGCTGAAGATGACTTGTCTGATTGATTTGTGCATGTGTAAATGAATGGTAGCCTTTTAGAAGTTTTTGAGGAGTTTTGTAGTTGTTGGGCATTGACTGACCTTGAGTTATTTCTGTAAGCCACAACCAAATAAATCTAGTGATATGTCCCCCATATTTGTATTCCTAACATATATTTGTTTTTGGATCATAGTTAAATTCTGCGGAGATATAGGTTTTCCCTTTTTTTTTCCTTGAATACTATAAAGAGTTGTAGGGGGAAAGAGGAATTGTTGTATAAAGAGATTGAGCAAATATAAGTTAGAATTGCTGGTTTCATGTGTAGAAATAGTCTGTATTTTTCCATTAACGTTGTGTTTCGTTTTCTAGCATTTTTGTGTGGTACTATCACTGCCACTTTCGATTGAAAAAAATGCAAAATTTTTCAGTTTGCCAAAGTAGCTTGCTCATACATGATTTTATTGTAGGCCTGTATTCTTCAATCTATGATTACCCTATTAACAGATACTTCAGCAACAATTTATTTTCGCACGATGGTGGGGATGAAGAATCAATTTATTGTTCAAAAGACCGAATTAGAACTTTTGCTAGAAGACAGAAAATTGAAATTTATCATCCAAAAAGTCTAAATTCATTAACATTGAGCGGGCAAAGTACATCTATTTGGATGGTAAAAATCAGGACACTTGACAAGCCTCAACACTGGAAGAAATTTACGGACAAAATATCAGGAATACCACTACCACGGGTTACAAATCAGCATTAAGCAGTTTGCAGACATGAATAGTGTTGTCATCTCAAACCATCTGATATTGTACTTTCATCATCACATGAAACCTCATCCAGCATGTCAAGAAATCCCTTCCTAGCTGTCCTTTGAATTGCAGAGGCATTATAACGAAGTCCACATGTTGACACTGCTTCAAACTTTGTCCATAACTCTTTCTTTAGAGTACTCTCACCGGGACGTTTGCCTGTCTGCATTATGCTCTCGGGTTCCTTCCACATTGGAGTACTTTCTACAAGTGCCAAGTTGTTGCCAATATTTTCTGCAGAACGGGAGAACTTATGTTTAATTTACTGCTCAAGAAAAATCATCAGTGAGTTCATTTAATAAAACGTATAGATAACAAAAGATACCTGGATTAATCGTCTTGTTTTGTTGGCAAGCATCTGTAACATCATTTCCTTTCGACAAAAACAATTCTGTCGGTTGATTTATAGCCCTGGGAAAGTGGTGATCAGTGGCAACATTGTCCAGGGACTTCTCATCTGGTGGCTCCAACAATATGCAACTTTTAGGAGGTGAGAATAACCATGTTGGTGACGACTCCAGCTCTTTCTTCCCAATTCCTGATTTGTAAGTTCGTTGTATACCTAGTAGTTCTGGATATTTCAAAGTCAGATCCTCAGAAGCTTCACTGCCAGAGGATTTAGAAAAACCACTGTTGTTAATTCCAACAGGAAATGGGGTAGACTTGCGCACTCCATAATCACCTCTATGTGAGGATTCATGAATCGGTTCAAGCAGCACACATGATTTAGGAGGCGACATTTTTAAGCGTGGTGTCATAACAAGCATGGAATGATCTTTTTTGGAAAACACTGGTGAAGAAACAAATCCACACTTCAATGTCTCATCTGTTCCAGCTGCAACAAAATCAGAAGGCTTAATTGGAGTTGGCTTTATGGCAACTCCTTCAAGCAAATTATCATTTTCATCCCCAGGAATGTTGAGAAAAGATGGCAGCTCAACAGTAGATTTTGAAACAATCCTTTCCAATACTAATTTAGACGAATCACGCCCCTTGGAAGACAGTTCTTTCAACATAGGAAGAGGTGTGAGCAGAAACAACTGTCTACCTCTCTGAATATTACAGTCAGCAGCACGCCATGACACAAGGGGAGAAGGAGATATTAACGAGTCCAACGTGGTTTCTTCTGGACTCCCAACATCAAACCATTTCTTTTCATTTACGTTCACAAAAGGAACAGTTTCACTTTCCAAACTATGTCCTGACTGATCTTTGTGCTCCCCAGCAGAAGGACTCGAAAGAGCCTTCTGAAACCTGGGAACCCACGGCTGCAATTATACAACATGACAGAGCATGTTAGTTCGTTCTGCAACAAACATATTCAAATTCAAGTGATATATAGTTTAAAAAATTAAGTTAAAGGATTAACCTTTAAAGAGGAAAGCATTTCGGAAATGACATTCGTGAAAGATTCAATTTCTTTCCTCCCTTTTCCTGTGGCGTTAAGCTTAATAGCTTGCGCAACAAGTTCATCAATCTGCCATTTCCAAACATAAATTGGTGAACATCAATTCAGGTAAAATCAAAGAAATCCATATAACACATGAAAAAAAGTAATAAGATGACAAAAAGGAAGAGCTTATATAAAATTGAATATATTTTACATAATTTTGGCATATTTTCTTAGCAACCGAACAGAAGCTAAACCCTAACCAGATAGATCAAATCATAATTTGGTACCCAAAAAGAGAAAAACTTTCTACTTGATCATACCTGGCGAAGGAGAGAGGAAAGATCGGATTGAAGGAGAAGAAGGGAATCGAGGGAGGCTTGGTTTTGGTGATTCTTGTGTTTGTCGAGCACTTTCTTCTTTGGAATCTCTGATTTGGAGAAACTCCTTGTGCTGTTATTGTTCGATAAATCTCTCAGTGGTTTCCTTACCGATTTTGGCTTCAATTCTGTTCTCCGCATCATTTCTTTCTCTTCTCTTTTCTCTGTGATTTCTTCTTTCTCGCTTTCTTTCTCCCTCCGGATTTTGTGCCGTTTGGCTTTTGAATTTCTGGTCGGTCTCATTCTAAAGCGGGCTATTGATTTTCGACCCGAGTGTTGAGAAATGACGGGTCGGGTTGAAGAAAAATTAGCGGCCCAACCCAAGAGCAACAATAGTATTCATTCGTGAAGATATTTTTAGGTCATTTTTAAATTGGGCCAAAGCCTAACCCATTGTTATCCAATCCCGCTACGGCCCACATTGAACTTAGACGCAAACCCGTCCTAATCACCTCAAAAGTGTTCAAGACCAACACCACAAACACGTACGCTGCGTCCACGGCACGGTCCATCCCCATTTAAGAAAAAAAGGTAAACAAACACCTACTCAAGAAATCGAGCACTCCCAAGCTTAGAACCATGGCAAACCAAGTTCAATACTTCATTGAAACCCAACTTCCCGATCACCAAAAACACTACAATTCCTTCACTTTCCCTTCGGTTCTGTCTCCAAACCCAACATCAATTCCTTCTTCACTGTCTCTTTTCACCAAAGCCATCAAATCCCAGAAGCCTTTTCTTGACTCTTTGTTGCTCACAGCTGGAGCCGTACTCTTCAGGGGGTTTCCTGTAGAGACAGCCAAGGATTTCAACGACGTCATTGAGGCTTTTGGTTTCGAGGAGTTGCCTTACGTAGGTGGGGCAGCTCCTCGGACTAACGTTGTTGGTCGTGTTTTTACTGCTAATGAATCACCACCCGACCAAAAGATTCCTTTTCACCATGAGATGGCTCAGGTAAGTTCCTTTTTTTGTGACTGAATTAACTTTATGGGCAATTGTGGTTGTCTGGGTGCCAACTGAATTTGTTTTTTTAACTTTAGAACAATGTTATCTATCTTATTTGATAACAGGTTCCTGAATTTCCATCCAAATTGTTCTTCTTTTGTGAAGTAGAGCCAGGAAGTGGGGGAGAAACTCCCATTGTTCTAAGCCACATTGTATATGAGAGAATGAAAGAGAAGTACCCGGAATTTGTTGCTCGGTTGGAGGACCATGGATTAATATATACGAGGGTGCTAGGGGAGGGTGATGATCCCTCATCTCCCATTGGTCGTGGGTGGAAATCCACGTTCTTGACGACAGACAAGAAAGTGGCCGAGGAAAGGTTAGTGATTTGATCATTCTCAATGGATGATATGACTTTAAAATCACCTTTAAACAACTTTTTGCAAAATTTGTTGCAGGGCTGCAAAGCTAGGTATGAAGCTGGAGTGGATTGGAGATGGAGTAAAAACAATAATGGGTCCAATACCAGCTGTTAAATATGACGAGTCAAGGCAACGTAAGATTTGGTTCAATAGCATGGTGGCTGCTTATACAGGCTGGGAAGATGCGAGAAATGACCCTGTGAAGGCAGTTACTTTTGGGGATGGGGAACCATTGCCAGCTGATACCATCTATGAGTGCCTGAAAATCCTTGAAGAGGAATGTGTTGCCATTCCTTGGAAGAAAGGAGACGTTTTACTCATAGATAATTGGGCTGTCCTTCACTCTCGAAGATCATTTGATCCACCTAGACGAGTGCTGGCTTCACTCTGCAAATAGGATTGGTGAAGCCTCTTGCCTGTATTGGAGCTTCTTTCTTCATGTAGCAGATATCCAATGCTCTACTAGCTTACCGCTTGTACAATATGCCCTGTATCTTAGTACTCCTTTAGCCATTTTAGGCTGTGCTGATCATATAATAATGAATATGATAAGATAGAATGCATAAATAATTGATTAGCAGAAATTGCTCAAGTTTGTGCATCACGACATTGGTGTTGTCCATGATTCTCTGAAATGAAGTTAGAGGCTTTTTTCGTGTGGCTGTTTTGCATTGAAATGCAAATCTTCAGAAAGCAATATCGTGTATCACGAGGACTTGATATTTATGTTTTCCCTGTTCTTTATAGATGTAATGAACAAGGTCAACCGTTGAACTTAATATGATGCTTCCTAGCTGCTTGGAGACAAGCTCATTTTAGCTTCGTGTAAATGAGACGAATGGAGAATGAAAATGACATCTAAGCAAGCCACTCATTATGCTTGTTGTAAAGTAGCCGAATCTTTTACTATATCACGGCATTTTACATCAAAATTTTTTCACGCAAGTTAAAGCTTTCAAAGAATATAGCATATAGAACAGGAAGGAGACAAAAAACGGAATGATATAAAAGGACTACCATATTACTGCTTTTCTGGAATATCATTGCTGCTATGCACACATTAACTATAAAAATCAGTGGGGGCGGAAAGTGGGGCAATACTGCAATATAAGGAAAAGTATATAGAGAGGATGTCTGCTTCATAACTATCTTCCTTGGACCAAACCACTAAATACTTGGCTGTTCCCAGCAAGAGTCGCTTCCCACTCCACGGAGGACAAAAGGATCTGTGACAAGTTAATCACAACTTGTTTCATGTCAGGGCGTACAATAGGATCCTCGTCGACGCATTGCTTTGCCAGCATAGCCATCTAAGCAAATCACAGGAAGAAATTAGAAGCTGAGTTGGAACATTGAGAATCCAGTCCTAGAATCTCATCCTTTTTGAATAAGTGATCCCAGTCTCATTACTGCTTATTTTGTAGCTTTAAGAATGTCTAGGATGTTAACTTCATACTTAAAGCATCGACAGAAATGTTCATCTAGCCTAGATGTGAAAATGATAACTAAAGATAAATTCTCAGTCCAGAATGTTTAATAGACAATTATTAATCTCATTATTATGTTTTCATCGAATGCATTAATCAAAATAATCTACATTCCAATTCTTTCCAGAAGAATAGTTAGTATTCTTTTTACTGATCATGTAAAAGTTGAGCCTTTTTCCCAAGAAAGCAGCAATCTTCGCATTTCACATACAAGGGCAAAAAAGGAAAGATGATAAAAAAATGGTAGAACTTTACCTTGAAGATACAATCATGGGGATATAGACCAAGCATATTTGCATCAATATAATCTTTCATGTTTGACATGCTCATTGAATCCGGTGTGTTACGAAGAGCTGCTAACATCTGCAAAATTGCAATATAAAGATACTATTATTAGGAGAAGCCAAGGTGAAGGAGCATCTAACATTGCATGCTTGGGAAACGTTGCAAAATGATGTTACTTCTTTAGATTTGTTTATCTACTTCTGACTTATCATTTTATATTTCACAGTTCACACCACAATAGACACTTTATCCATCAAACAGTAATAGACAATTAAACTGCCACACAAATAACTACAGCCATGAGTATCCACACTAATCAATCTCTGCATATTTTCAGGAAAATCCTGCAGAAATATAATCTCAGTCTGATCTAAAACAAATTCCCAATGACACAAATATCTGCAATAGAGTTTTAACCATAAGCCAGATAGAATTTTATAGAACAGACAAATGCCATATCTCACAACTTCTTCAGTATGCCACATTCCACCTTGTTTATTTCTTTTTTCAAAGACACATTCATATGCTGGACCCTTAGATATGACATAGGTGTCTGCCTTGATGGGCTTATTTATTTAATGGTTAGAAGAAGAAAGGAAGAAAAAAATGAGGAACCATATAAGCTACTCCCATCCCACATTCAATAAAGACACATTTTTTCAGGCGACAAAGCAGTTTCATCAAGTTAGTCTCTTGGAGATGCTCATTCTTCAACTTCAGAACAATGCGCAAAAGTAAATTATGTTCTGAATTTATGTTAAAGGTTAGTTTCAGAAAGATATCATTTCTCACAGATTATTAAGCTTTTCTATGAATTGCAATAAAATATCTTCGAATGTTCTAGAAGGGATCTCACAATAGATGCCAGAGAACGTCTCTCAGTATTTTTCATCGCACTGCCTTCAGTTCGAATGATGGCCTCCTTCCCAGATATAATTTCGAACAGAACAACACCAAATGCATACACATCACTTTTTGATGAGGCAAGTCCATCACTCAAATATCTATAAGAAAAGAATAGGGGAACAGTCAACAAGAGTTTTGAAGAACTCCTAGTGAAAGACAGTAGCCAACCAACCATATCATCACTTACTCTGGTGCCAAATAACCAAATGTACCAACAACTTTTGTTGCAGTTGCTTCTTCATCATTTGTTTTTCCAACAAGTTTTGACAACCCAAAATCTGAAATCTAATTCGAGAAAATAACTAAAGTCAGTGAAATGTGCTCAAGCACACTTAAATCACAAAATAAAACCAGCAAGATTTAACATGTTGGAACCTTTGCCCTGAAAGAACTATCAAGCAAGATGTTACTCGACTTGATATCTCGATGAACATAATGAGTTTTAGTATGCTCATGGATGTACTCCAGGCCTCTAGCAGCATCAAGTGCAATCTGAACCCTCATTATCCAAGAAAGTGGTGAATGACCTTCAAGCCAGAAAATATTTGCAGTTTCATTATAGCATGAATTCCATAACTCAGCACAAGACATGATACAGCATATCAGGAGATCCCACATACAGTTGGCATTCCTCGTAGAATTGTATTCAAAGGTTATAAAAAAAGGAGAAATGAGGGATAAAAACATATTCTAACTAGGAATGATCTGTTTAAAAGTTATCATTAACACCGAAATCCAATCGCAACTTCATATTCCAGCAAAAAAGTTAAGCATAAGTGCCAAGTGGGTCATACATATATGTGAGCCACAGGTGGCATTTAGGGTCCTTGTCCAGCTAAGCAAAAAGCAAAACCTTTATAATGCTTCAACACTGTATATCTACCATTTTGCTTATCAATTTAGACTCACCAGTAACCAAGCAATTAGGAAGAGCACAATTTTAGGCTTGCAATCTAAGCCCGCCCACGAAAGAGCCAATTCATTGGACTGACAGATCTATTGGAACTGTGGGACTTAAACCTACTGTACACCTGTTTATGAATAGAATGTGCTGGATCATTGCAATGCCCAAGCTTCAGGTTGACAACATTTGATACAAGGCATGGAACCTCAGGACAATAAAATAGCTTCCCCTCATTTTGAAAGTCGGTCAAGCAAACTAGGTTAATTTAGTTTCTTATTCATCATGGCCATTATTACTAGCATTGTTTCAACACATTATGGTTAAGGATGATCATGCACCATAATTTACAATATTCAATCCATTTTAGCACTATTAGTTTCCCAGTTTAATAACCATATATGAGGAAAACATGCTCCATCACAACTATCTAAAAGCATTAAAATACGATCTTCAAATTCATACAACAGAATTATCAAAAACCTTCAACCTAGTAAACTTGTGATAATTCATTCTTAAAAAATGAAATAAATTATAAAAGCTCAAGAATGCACTGTTATAATCTACCTTTGTTCTGTGGATCATGTAAATGGCTTCTAAGGGAACCCTTTTGAGCATATTCATAAATAAGGAAGAACTCATTATCACTTGCAGCATAGCCAATCAACTCTACCTTTGACAACATTAAACCAAAACGGTAGTCAATGGTTTTGAACAGTGGAAAGCAGCAAGCTTCACAATTTCACAATTTAAACAATTGTTTAGCATACAGAGAGCGTTACCAGATTTGCATGATGAACCTTACACAACACTTTCATCTCTGCCATAAATTCCTTTGTCTTTGTGGCAGTCATTCTTTTGATAGCAACTTCCTAAAAGAATCAAATAAAAACATGTAATAATGATATCTTTACCATTCAGGTTATGTAATCTAAATTCTGAAGTAGAATTGAACAAACCTGGTCATGGAGGAGACCAAAATACACAGAACCATAGATTCCATGACCAAGAAGATTAGAATCAGAGAACCCATCAGTCGAAAAAAGAATCTCTTCATAAGTGAAAACCACAGGCTTCTCAACATCAAGTACATCAGTTCCTAGAGCTGTAAGAGAAGACAAGAAAACAAAGTTAGACTTCCCAAGTTTGCAATTGGTCAGGCAAGCAAGCTGAGTTATCATAAAAACAACTCTATCCTGCCTGCTAAACTTGCAACAAATCTAAAGTTAAGCCATTTTTCTGAAAAACAAAATGAAGTCTCTCTCCAAAATCCAATTAATTCAGAAATTTAAGACACCACTGTACAAAGCAACTAATTCAAACAGATTTGATGATCAATAAAGGAAAACCTACAAGCTTTACAGGTCAAAGCAACCTATCTTCAATACCTGGCAATATCTCTTTACGGAAAAAAAGGTAATATGTCATGCAATATTGGTTCAGAGCCCATTCTATGAAAATCAATGGTGCATTGACTCCTTTCATACTGTCACTCATAGTTGCCTTTCAAAATCCAGACCCGGTTCCCTTTTGTAATTTACTAAGTGATTTAGGAAAAGTTTTCCAGAATGACAATACTCAATAACTTCAATGTCAAAGTTGTTCAATAATCAAAAGCCAACCTCCAAAAATGATACAACCTAAATATATAATTTTGATAACCCTAGTTTTAAGTCCATAGGGAAATAAAACCCACGTAGTCCAAATAAAAACTAATAAAATTAAACCAAACAAACAAGTCCCCTAATAAATAAATCCTATTTCCTAAACTTAGGTCTAAAAAATACATCCTTCCAAAACTTGGAAGGCCGTTCTCCATCAGTAAGGTCTACAATAAGATGTCATAGTTGAACAGGCTAGTTGAAGAGCTACAATTGACAGGCCTGAGCTTTCTTTAATTAAAAAAATGAGCCAAAATTATATTTGACTTATTTGATTCTAAACAATTCAGTATCTTACTTGATTCTTCAAGAGTGAAATGATATGATTGTTTTAAAACATGAGAAATGGGAATGGAAGGCTTCCTTACCATAATACACAAGATAAGATAGCTTGTTGCTATAGTGATTGTCCAATATATATATTGTCACTTGTCAGGGTTAGACCAGAATGCAGGCTGTAATTATTATACATAAATATTACCATACTCTTGGTTTCTCGACCAAACAGTCCATTAATCAAATGAATAGGTAAAATATGTGCAGGCATACAGAAATATGCTTTTTGCATAATATAATAAATAAGTAGAAGAACAAGAAATCAAAAGATACATGTTTCACCCAAACATGGTCCAAAGTTTTATACAAGTATAAGAGAAGAATCCACCCTGGCCCAACCTCCAAAGGAAAAGAAAAATGAAGTATATTAAAATTAATGATGGTTACTAGCTACCAGCTACTAGCTATTACAGCAATCAGCAATAGCTACTAGCTACTAGCTATGCCTTTCATTTCCAAGATATAATAAGTCTCCTACCTTCCTAGCATTCATGAAATATTGGGATACACTGTAACATCTGATCGTTAGATCTAGGGCTTATAAGTTTTGATATTATTTGTTTTGATTAATTAGTCTATTTTATTTAGCATGATATATAAATCCTTGCCAGTATTTCGGCTAGCAACAAATAGAATTGAAAGTAATTAACAGACGAGAGTATAATAACCTTTGGGAATAGTAATCTGGAGGTTACTAGGTTCACCATTAGTTTGGTTCCAATTTCCTGACTTGCCGCAAATGTATCTTCCTGAACCACAACAGAAACTTGGCTTCTGAAGAATGTGAAACTTATGAGAGCTCTTGTCATCAGGATTTTTTGCAAGACTTCCTTGAGCTTCACCAAAGCAGCTTGATGACCTCAAGGAAACACAAACAACCATGCTTACTATAATGAGGGCGAGTCCAACACCCAAACCCCCAATGATCCATCCATATGGCACATGAGTTTTATGATTTACTTGAATTTCTGCGCAAAATTTAAAAATAGATTACATTGTATTTCTCACACAAAATGACACCTTTATTTAGGCTTAATAGGGAGAACCTTCAGAAAATTAGTAATTCCAAGAAAAGCTAAACGAAGCCAAGATAAAATTGCACAATTGGAAACTATGGATCCCACAAAATCAAGCCAGTGACTTTCAACCATTTATATTTACAGCTCTAAAGCGTATATAGCAATGCCAAATAATGAAATGGTTTAAAGATCAGCAATTGCTGCCTGCTTACTCACGGACTTTTATGCTCCATAGTATGGATTCAGCCAAAAGAAGAAAATTCAAGCAAACACCTATTACTCACACACTGCTCCTTTCACTGAGGAGTGTTTACCAGACATTGCTGTAATTCAGGCAATCAAACAAAACAGAAGTAGCTCGCAATTGTAACCAAAAAAAAAAAAAGAACTGGCAAACACTTTTGGCAGAAAGAATGAACAGCACTAACACTTGAAAGTTTATACAGAGCTTGAATCCACGTATCTGGAAAGCAAGCCACGTTACCACATATTGCTATGTAAAACTTGCAATTTTCAATTTTGACATATACTTTACTGCAAAGCATGTTTTTTATTTGTGGTTGTCAGCTGTTACTTGAAATCACTTCAAAACAGACTTAGTCCATGACATTGCGTTAGTAGTAGTAGTAATAGTAGTAGCAGTAAATAGAAACCTATTCATCATTCTTAGATTTACCAATCCATACCTGGAATTGTTTCAGCAGATGGTGCAGGAACAGGTGCAGGGGTAATGTCATTCTCTACATGATATGGTTCACCAGGAACTGCAATACATATAAACAAGCTAGTGTAAAATTTTCTGCTATAATAAGAGAACTAAACAGTAAGCGAAATCCAACAAAATGATCAAGAAAAGCATGTAGCCCCAGTTTGCATTACTTGTTGCACACAAAACACAAGGCATATGCAAAACCAACTCATAGCCTTGCAAATCAAGGAACTGGACCATAAAGCAAAGATGCTTGTTAATGCTAATCACAGATATACACATAGCTTATGTAGGAACTCATTATTGGTTTCATTATTTTGTTTCTAAATCTGAAATCCGATTGGCATTAGCACCCTCCTTCAAAGTTCAAATTATGACTTCAGTTAGAAACCAAGTAGCTTCCAGACTCTAAATGTGAAGTGAATTCACCAATTAGCATCAAATTATCTAATCAATATCACAAACTCACTTCATCTCCCATACATTTCCAATTACTTGGGCAATAAATCTGACCTCCAATGCTACACTTTCAATCACACCGAGCCAAAGCAGAACTGAGAACAAGTTTCAGATATTTAATATACCTAGTTATAGACTAACATAAACTATGGATAGAAAATCTTATTTTACTAACTTGATTAACCATACTCCATTTGCAAACCATAAGAGTTCTCAGAGACTATGTCAACATCACCCAGCAAAAGACCATCAGAAAAATCCATCTCTGGAAAACCAACTAAATATGCATATCTCCAAACAATTAGCCATCCACAAGCAAAAATGCTAAAACTAACTTAGAAACCTCCCAAATAAAAATTGAGAATCCACAAATAGCAAAAAAGGAAAAAAAAAAAAACTGAATGATTCTAAGACAAACCTGAATTCAATGGAATATAGTACAGGGCACCAACAGTGAAATTATCAGGATTTACAATCCCATTGACTTGTTCAATACTATCCATGCTAACCCCAAATCTACTTGCTAAAGATTGCACACTATCCCCATCTTTCATCACATAACTCATCAAGTAGTTCCACAGCCCACTTGAACACCCACAAAACAGCCTCAAAGACACCACAGCTCCAACCCTTGCCTGCCTGCTAACATTTGGAACCATTGCAAGCCCATCATAAGCCTCTAAAATCATGTCATTAACATACCCTTCGTTTGATCTCACTGTAAAAGTTGTATTTGTTGCATAATTCTTGGTTGTTGATAAGCAAGAACAGTTCTTTTTTACGAACATGTAGCCACGGCCGTCCTCTTCTTCAACTGTTATGTCTTGTGGTAACACATCAAACATGCTCTGGATCACTGATAGAGTTTGGTTGTCTTGTGGCTTAAAAGCCAAAAAAGAGGTGCATCGTCTTGATGTGTCCGTACAATTCATGGGGATTGTCGTGGAAGAGTCTAAGGCTTGGAGGGTTTGAGCATGCACAAGAAGGATGAATGTGAGAAGAATCAACAAATGTGGGACTGTAAAATCCATCTGTTCTTGTTTCAAAAAAAAAATTGAAACTTTGAGCTAAAATTAAGTCCAAAAGGGAGTCAAAATTTTAGATTTTGATCAAACAAAAATGTCTATAAAAGGTTAGTACAAGAAAATTTGAGACTAGAAGAAGAAAAACAAGATTAAACATAAATTAGACTTGACAAACTTTGAGAGCAAGGTTTAGCTCTTTCTTTAAAAAAAAGGGGAGAGGAGCAAGAAGTGTTAATTTGAAGCTGAAAAAAAAAAAAAAAAAAACTCCGACAAAGAAAATAAAAGGGTCAGCGAAGAAAACTAGAGCTAAGTTAACAAAAATCCTTGCTTTTACTATCTTTTTTCTTGAAGGGGTAAAAGGAAATGGTAGATCAAAAAATGAAGAAAAATGAATGATGTGAGGGACTTATAGTAAAGTTTTTGCAAGAATATGAGAAACTTGAGAGAGTGAACGGTGGGAAAGACGAAAGACGGAAGGCGTCAAACTGAAAGTGAGATCTAAGGTGGTTCGAAGGACAGACGTAGCAAGGAATGAGGTGACACTAAACAGAGCATGTTTTGTTTTCTTTTTTTTTTTTTCTGGTAATTGCTATTTAGAGACTGTAAAAAGAGGAAGGGACCTTTCGAGATCGAGAGAGAGAGAGAGAGGAGATCGCAATTGTAAGGGGAGCCATCCACCGGTAGCTATTTGGGTGGGCACTCTTTTGTTTGACTAAACTACCCTTCTTTTGTTTTTTTTTGTTCAACTCTTAAAATATAGCTTGTGATTTTGTCCTGATGCTAGATGGCAATTGAGTCTATAATTTGTTTTACCTACTCTAAAATTATGGTTAATAAATTCAAATTACCACCTAATAATATTTTTTTAATTCGTGTTACTCTCCGATTGGAGGTTAATTTTTTGCCATACAGAAACATACGTGAGCTTTAAACTTTATATGAATTTTAAAAACTTGAGAAAGTAAATTTAGAAAAAGAGTGAGGATAAATTGGGAAATAAAATTTACGGGATTGGGTGGATTTGGCACAAGTTGCGAAGAGCTGGGATTGAGATTTGAGAATGACAGTTGGTTGGGCCCCGCAATTACGCGCCAATTTTATACACAATCGCTAATCATTTGTCAACTAATGGCACGCTTAGCGCATATCGTATCAATTTATCCAAAGGGTGAAACGGTGAGACCTCGTTCACCCTGATTCCCTTTGATTGGCGAAGATTAGCTTGGAAGGTAGTAGATGCATTGGATTCAACTCAAAGCATGCCGATTTTTTGGAATGGCTGGAAAAATCGTGGACAAGGGTTTGACTTGGTAGGCCCGCACGAGGACAAGCGACAACCATAAAATAAAATAAATTATAGCAAAGAAGATGAGACCCACAGACAGAGAGCAAACGCCAAGACATGCCCAACAAAAACCCAACATATATAAGAGATTAATTATTGGTACATTCATTAAAGTAAGATGTGTCTTCTTTAAACCTGTTTGCTTATCTTTTAGTCTTCGTCGTTCCCACAACGTTAAAATTAAAACAAAAATGAAAAATTAATTTATCTTAAGTAGTACACTTTTTATTATAAAAATAATTAATTAAATTGAATTTTAGATTCACTAAAATGTAAATTAATCAAATTTTTAAGGTAAAAACGTTAATTCATATAAGATAATAAAAAGAGAAGGGCGAAAAATGTCTTGATATCACACAAACTACTTCATGCAAGCAAATTTAATACTTGGGATACAATGATACCTATATTTACTATATCAAATTATCCAACATTGACACCCACCATCTTCCACAACAAACTCAGAAAAAGACCAATATGCTACATTCGGAAGGGCGTTGTTGTCTTGCATTTAAGAAATGAGCTGAAAGTGAGATCACTTTCCTGTAATTGTAGCTAGTAGCTACTCAACTCTTCTGTAAAAATGGCAACCACAGCTTTTAGAAAGAAGGAAAATTGAGGGGCCCTATTGTCCACATCGAGTTCATCATTGCATGTGCTTTTAGCTGGAAACTTATTTCCTGTGACCTAAGATTTTGTAACTTTTCCCACATCCCATATATAATAGTATCATTTTTTCTATGGACTTTATTACTTATGGAATTATGAAACCAAACCTTAGGATTAGTTGAACAAAGATTAATAATTTGCCTAGGGTCGGTGTAGTAAGTGAAATTGATTGTCCAGACTGGGTTTGTACCATTTAAAGAATATGCTGAGGACGATGATTGTTGTGTTTCTCTGCTCGAGGGTGGCCCCCTAAAACCTTGGATCTTGTCTTAAAGCCCTTTGCTTTTTTCATGGTTTTGGGTGGCCCTTGTTTTGGCAAAAGGCGAACCAAGGAATAATGATTTTTGCTTGAGGAGGGATTGACAGACAGAGATGTCAAAAAGCGCAATCACTCATTAACTCTTTTAAATTGAATGTTACATTTGATTTTAACTTGATGATAGTTTGATTCGAGGGTATTGTTAAATAAAATTTATTTTTAAAGATTGTTTGACTTATGCATTTCCTTAATAAGAGCATCTGCAAAACCAAATTCAATTGGTGAAAGAGAAAACTTTTTTTATCAATCAAGTTTTTTTTTTTTTTGGAAAAACACATTAAAAGTAAAATCTTAAATGTATTAAATCAATATAAAAAAATACTTCTTCAAATTCATTTTAAATCCAAGCAAAAGTTGCGATATCCTTTGCTGTCTTGCATAATTTCATAGGGACATATGCCAGTATTTTCTGTATCATTTCAATTTGATGAGCTTATAAAAAGTTTTAGCTCACTTGACTAAATAAGCCCAATAAAAAAAAGAAAGGGATGTAACGAAATAGATCAGATCAGTCATGTTTTACAAAAGGGGCCTTTTCTTTTATCCTGTCTGAACTGAATAAGAAGAGGAATTGGTTTCTTCAGCTCTGTAGTGCAGACTTACAATTTAAATGTAGACCCTCAAAGTCCAAACCTTCGAAAGGGGCTACTTTCAAGCTTAATATATGGGCTCTGTCCCTTTGAAAACTTCATTTCCACTCGAAAGATTGCCAATAACTTAATGCCAGCAAACAGAATTTTTTGTTAATTATATATTTATTAATATATACTTCTATCGGGTGGGTGAAAGTGATGGGGTGGCGGCCACTTTCCATCCATGCTTGAAATGGCATGGTTAATTATCACTCCTTGGGTTACTCAAAAGTGGAAGACAGGTAATAAGTGATTTCCTCAATAAGAGCAAAACTCGAAATGCTTGAGGGTATCTAGTGCTGTGGAAATCCTTCTTCCTGTGTTGCTACGTACCTTCATATAATTTCTCTTTTTTTTTTTTTTTTCAATTTAAAATGATTTGTTTTTATTAATAAATGTGAAAAATAATTAAATTTTTTTATCTTATTTTTTTTCCTACCAAACTTCTTAGAATTCATTTTCTTTCCACTTTTACACCCTCTTTTATTCATCCTTCCACTTTTTCAATCTAACAAACACACCCTTAACAAATTAACATCTTCTTTTTCAATGAAGTATTGCTTTTTGTGAGTTCAAATCATTTTAAAAAAAACGTCTTTTGGTGAAACTTTACTTTTGCAAGAGGGTCTTCCATATGACTCTCTGAAGTTTGAGAAATCCATTTGTCATTTTGATACTAATTAATGTAGGGTAGGGTTACAATCTACAACCAAATGAGTCAAGCAGTTCACAGCTGACCCAAAACTTTTCTCCAACTTGCTTGCTAAATGAGTTAAGGTCAAGCCTAGAAACCAACACTTCATCATGTAGCAGATTTTCAAAACCATTTGAGCAGATTAATCACTTCAAAAGTAAAATTTTCAACAGATATTGTACTCAAATTTTGGTTCAAACTCACTAAAACTCAGGCTTTAAACTTTGCATTTTAGGATATGGGTGGTACTTTGTAGAATGTTGGGACAGCAATATTGATAATTTTGGCTTTCATCTTACCTTTATGTGCTAGTAAGCTCATCTCATCACCAATATTCTTACACTTTTTATTTTTCTTATATAAAAAAAGTTACAATCTAAAAAAAAAATTACAAATGTTAATTTCTGAATTGTCACTGAATGAATTGCATAAATTTACTAAATTGAATCTTGAATTCAACTTCTTAACACTTCCTTCAATATAACACGAGCATTTGATACACTAATAAATGTGTTTATTTTCTTGGCTTAATTAGCTGATATGAATTTCTTTCTATAAAATAAGTAATCATAAAATAATTTCTTTAAATATGTGTATGAAAGAAGACAGATATATACATCTTAAAATGAAAGAACAAAAGAGTATTTTTCTTTTCTAGTTATAAGATATCTTTGTACACCTATTGAGAAGATTCTATCTGAAAGTTTACCACTTTCGTCATTTCTTTTCCTTGTTTCATTTATCAAAGCATGCACTTAGTTTAGAAAATTTTAAAAACAGATGAAACGATAAAGGAGAAGAATTGTGATGGTAAGTAACATTTAGATAATATTGTAGCATGGCATATTTTTCCGGCATCTTTTTAATCACTTAGGAGTAGAGATTGCATATAGAAATAGATAAATTTAACGGCAGATAATGCGTTTATACTAATCATTCCGAGCATATGGGCTTTTTTCTCGTTTGATAAAGGCAAAAAATAGAAAATAAAAAGACTAGTTAGACAGTAGATACTTGACAAGAAATGCACTTTAATAATTGATAAAAATATGTTAGAGACTGCCTGTGTCACGAGTTGAGAGCTTAAATTTATTTTTTCTAATTCGTTGTCTGTATTATTTTTTAGTAAGTCTCATCATACAATCCTTTTAGTCTAAGAATCATATGTGATCCGGGACATTTGTTCTTTGTTGTAATGCAAAATTTTCATATAAATTTTGAAATTTTTTTTATCATTTTACTGCTCATTCTTAGTCTTTGCAAGATATTGTTTCTTTTGCGGAAATTTAGATTACTAAATCCTTAAATTTTATAATTGAATAATCAAAATAAAAAATAGATAAAATT